GCAATGAATGTTTTAGTGTGCCCAAATAACTCAGCTCCATATTCTGTGCTCGTTACTAAAACACAGAACTTACCAGTGTCCTTGCCACGCTGGTGGCACTGAGATTTATGTCCCCAGCACCTCATTAGGAGCCCTCTAAACTGTGCTCTTCACTTAACAAAGATGGTTTAACAAATCCACAGGACACTGTGGAAAAGCATCTCGTTTGAACAGAAATTGTCTGGCACTCACAACTGGTGTTTCTGGCAGAGTCACCCCCTCTCATCAGGGCAGCAAGCAGGGGAGAGCAGGTGGGCTGTCTGGGAGTGGTTGGATGCTTTAACCTCCTCACTAGGCATACTGGCCTGTAATATTTATTTTATGTTAGTGTTAAGCATTTTGCTGAGGATGTGGTTGATGTATGGAAGGTAAAAGAGAGGAAGTTGTTGTCACGGAATATCAGAGGTTGCAGATGCAGTTAAACCCAAGGAATAGCATTTTCTCTAATAGGAAAAAATAAAGATGTTCTCAAGTGGGGACAGTAGGGGAGGACAGAGGAGGAGCAGTAACCAAGCTGAGCAAGAGCAGTTCTGAGGATGTTCGTGGTAGAGCATAACTGCTGAGCTCTGTGCCCTTCTAATGTTTGAGCCCCACCTCGTTCACTGCGTTGTGCTTTTACCATATTAGTTGTTTGTCATGCTGTGGCAAGCTCCTCTTGGCAGTGGCACCTCTCCTGTGTCCATCTGGCACGCTCGATCCCCACATGTTCTGGCAGCCAAGGAGCAGATGAACAGCGAACACCCGAATGGCCGTGGTTGTGCTGCTGCTTTCCAGCCGTGGCATCGCTGTGCCACTTTTAATAATTCAGGAGTGATGGAGAGGAGGGGGAGTCGAAGGGCTGCAGCAATCTTTGTTTCTCTCTGTAGCGTGTGATTCCTCCTTGGTGGCTCTGTGGTTACCAGGGAAACGGCAGAGGGATGGCACACACCGCGGGGCTGGAGTGGGATTTGGGGGTCTGCTCCCTGACAGCTGCTCATTGCACCTGGGGGGAGAAGCAGGGCTTGTCTTGCCTTGGTTTGGTGCCTTTCCTTCCACGGTTTAGTGAAAATTGTTAAATAGGTGACACTCCCCAGGGTTGGTGTATTTGTTAAAGAGTCTTTTTATTACTGATTCCAGTAAAAACATGCAGTGTCAGAAGATGAGCATTAGTGTCAGTCTGGAGGAGTTGGGTGATCACAAAATCTTTCTCTGGTATTAACTGGAGACTGTCACTGCTGCAAGGTTGTTTAATGGGTTTGAAATGCTTTGGCACTTCAGGGAATAGATTTACTGGAAGAGACTAAGGACCACTTCACTAACATTTGCTCAGGGCGGCATTCTCTGATTTGATAAAGGTTGAATCTCATTTTTAGTAATTAGCATATATATCCTAATCACCTCTTGCACTGCCTCTGCTAACCAGAATAATGCCAGTCTTGGAAGCTCTGAGGAGAGAGGCAAACAAGAGCAGGGGAGCAGTTCCTGCACCTCCGTCATTGTGGCTCCTGACATGTGGGAATGGGGAGGTGGAGGAAGGGCAGATGTGCTCACTCCACTGCACATCTTTTAGGGCTGGATCCATCTTTAGCTGCTCATCTACTGGCATTAGCCGTGCTGTTTGTCATACCTGTGTTAGGTGCTTAGATTTACGGCCATTACGCTGAAGTTGTTCTGAGAGAATGACTTAAAAACCTCTTTTACTAGTGGATCAGAGTGGAACTTGGTGACTGGTTTGAGATGGACTCTTGGGCTATTCTCTAACTACAGGCAGAAGGACTGTCTAGTTTAGTATCTGTGTCCCTCCTTCAGTGAGACTACATAAGGTTAAACAAGACTTTCTGTGACAAGTTAGTTTGTTGGAAGCTGCCTGGCAACTGTTTGCTTGATTGCTTTAGAACGGGACCAACACAATCAAATACCATATAAACACACTCTCCTTCTGAATTTCATGGCAAATAAATATGCTTTTTCCTCACCAGAGACTTCTTTTGAAGTCTGCATTCAACAGGAGATTTGTCACTACGGGAGAAAGCCCTGAGGTTTCATTTCCTTGTGCCCAGTGTATGTACACAAGTGAGGTATTTCTGTACACTCACCTTAAATTAGAACAAAATTTATGAGCTTTGAATGAGGCTGTTTTTCCAGTTACCTTTGTGAAACCTTCAGAAATGGTTCCCAGACCTCTTGCCCTCCATTTGCCTCCCTAGAGTTCAAAGCCTTCACTATGGAGTACATCTCCTTTGTAATGCATGGAACAGAATTAAGAAAAAATACTAGTATGTGCTAACAAAAGTTTTAACCATAAAGTTCACTATATTTCCTCCAAAATGGCAGATTCTGAAATTTAATTGCTGAAAATTTAAAACTATGTAAAAAAAAAAAAAAAAAAGGGGGGGGGGGGGAAGAAAAGAAAAAGAAAAAGCCAGAGTGAAACAATACACTTGGGCACCAGAAGTGGTGTTTAGGAAACCATGCTCTCAATACTTTCTTGCAACTATCCTTGTATTAAAAAGGAATGCTACTCTGGTACTCACAATTCAGAGATTTTTGTCCTCCTTTTTTTGATTTTCAGTTGTGGATTTCTTGGTTTGGGGTTTTTTTTTAAGAAAATGACCCTTTGGAGAAGTAGATGTTGACAGTAAAAAAAGAATTGCGATGAAAAATAATAACTCAAGATGGAGTTTTCTTGTGTTTCCTCTAGATCTGGCAGTACTGGGCTGAGCTTTGGTTCTCTCTGAACCTGACATGTTAAAGGTGCTCATGTTAATTGAAAAATGTCTTCAATATAAATTGTAAATTCTTCTGATAGATGAAGTAGTTGTCCCTTGCTAATACATGGTCTTCTATAGCAGCTGTTCTTTAGTTTCAGTTAACACACAAAATGGAAGCAAGTCCAGCACAGTGGCTCTTACCACTGTTGCTTTTGCCAAAGTTAAAAATGCACTAAATTATTGCCACTGAAGTTAGGAGAGGTCTTTGAATTCAGAGAACATCTACTGAGTGTGTGATGTCATTTTTATGAAGTCATACTTTGATTAGAAATGCAGTTTGGAAAAAAAAATGACTTCTGCTGTCAGTGTAGTAAAATTGTTGATAAATCCTAGTCTTGCAGAGCGATTGGGATCGATCTCCTGTTCTGTGATACTGCACTGAATAAGCCTCTTTGTCCCCAAACTCCAGGAGACTGCTTAGTGTTTTGTAGGAGGTCCTACAGTGTGTGTGTGTGTTCAGGGAGCTTTTTTAAGGACACAGGCACATCTCCCCTGTGTCCCTGCAGCTGATGGCCAGTGGAAACATTGCAGGCTGGGAAAAGCCAACTGAGAAGCAGTTTGTGTCAAACTGCACTGTGCAGGTGTGTGAGCTGGGCAGGATTGCTTGTGATTGTGGCTCAGGTTTGTGTGCTCCTGGGGCACAGCTCTGGTGTGATTGCTGGATATCTGCAATGGAAAATGCCAGTTTTATTGGGGTTTGTAGCCGTGCAACTGTTAGCTGGAAATTCAGCTCTGAATCTTTCAGTTGTGTAATTAAAAGGATGTATTTGAATAGGTCTGAATGTTGTAGTCTAAAAAGGGTTCCAGGAATGCTTCAGCAGAACTGCTTCAGTAACAGTTTTACTTTTGGTTCTTCCCATGCCCTGGGAGTGTATGTATGTGAAGCACAGCTAATAAATCATGATATGCTGCCTCCTAACCCAAGGATTCTGAGCTCAGAAGCTGATTCTGGTGGTGCTCATTGCTGAGCACACAGGATCTGTACAAGTTGGCTCCAGGGTTCCAGGAGGTGCAGTAGGACTGGTTACCCTTTTGACTATTGGCTTAATTCTTTGTTTCATGCTTCTTTTTTTTTTCCCCAAAAAGAAGCTGAAAAGTATGACAGATGTTTCCCCCTCCAAAGGACATGCTAAACCTAAGCTTCCAAGTCTTACTGTAATTGTTTCTGAGTTGTCCTCTTTTTATTTGAAACAGGTCAACTAAAACAATATTTACTTGAAGTAATTTGTGGAGAAAGTTTTTGACTCTAATGCTATCCCCTGTTGCTTTTTTCCCTCAATTTAGATAAAGGATAATTGTGATTATTTAGGAAAACAGTTCAGATGAAGGAACAAAGCTAAGTAAAACAGAACTTACTGTTTAAGAGACACTGGAAGAAAAGGGTCTCAATCTTGCATGTTAAATTGGGATTACAATTTTCCAAATGAATATAACTTCATCATTAAAGCTTACTAAAAGCTTCTTTATGAGTCTCAAAACCACTGAATTAGATTTCAAAGCAGATTTTTAAAAATATTATTTAACAGAAAATACATCATTTTGTGTAAAACTTTAGGGTTCCTGTACCAGTCTTACCATTTTTCTAGGATCTTTCTGATAGATCTTTTGTGTAGATATCCCAGTGTATGTGTGCAGTTATTCTTGTTAGCTGTCAGAAGGATTGACCACTCTTGCATAGAGGGAGTTATTGTCAAGAAGTGGGGTTTTTAAATGTTTTTAAAATCATATATAAATCAAATGCAGATTCTGCTGCAAGACTTAGAGGATTAAAGCTGTATTTACAGATGAGGGGGAAAAGGTATTAGACAATTAAAGGCGCTTTAGGGGGGCTTCAGCTCCTTTTGTTAGATTATCAAAGTACTTCATCTTGCACAGAGGAGGGAGTGATCCTCTATACAGCTCAGCTACCACGTTAGCTGATACTGGCAGGCTTTATCAGGAGTGCTTTATCCTTTGATTAGACTTTGATTGCCACTCAGGAGCCAGATACAGCTTGCAGCCATCTCACTTCAGCTTGTGCGAGTGCGTGATGGCAGAACCTGAAGATCGATGTTCAAAGCATGCCCCCCCACCCTGTGTTTGAAAGGCTTGTTAAGGTTCATCAAGGAAAGAATCCCTTATTTTGGGGCAATCCTGAGCTTTGGTTTGCAGTTGAGCGCCCCTCAGAGAGGATTTTGAAAGTTTATTTGCCTCTCTGCTGTGTATTTTCAGGTGCTCTCACAGTTGGCCTTGTGCGACAGTGTCAAACCATCCATGGACGTGACAGGACCTGTATTCCTCCACGGCTGCCTCCCGAGTGGGTCACTACGTTATTTTTCATCATAATGGGAATCATTTCACTAACTGTCACTTGTGGTTTGCTGGTGGCTTCCCACTGGCGAAGAGAAGCTACTAAATATGCCCGCTGGATAGCTTTCACTGGAAGTAAGTGACCTCAACTGCACAGTTGACCTGTATGCAGGATAAACTGGTGGAGTCTGGAATAACACGGTAGTGTGGTTAAGCAGCAGTGCTCAGGGCTCCTGCTGTACAAAATGTTCCTTCTCTTTTAAATACCACAGCTGAGGGACAAATAAGTCTTCCAAAATAAAAGGGCTGGTGTCTTAAGTGACTGTAATTGAGAGGGAATAATAGTCTGTGGGCCCAAGGTGAGAGAAGGGAAGGCCCTGACGCCTTGACCTTCCTTGGGCAGTGCCATTAATTGACCAAAGAGAACGAGCAGGGATAGAAGAGGTCAGTCCTGGTTTGAGTGTCTGTGGTGTTTCATACTGCCCCACTCCCATATAACTAGGACTTATTCCTACCTGCATGGACTGACAGAAAATCCCCTCCCCAAGGCAGCGGAGCCAGTTGGTCCATCTGAGACAACCCATCCCTGCTTCAGGTGTCTCGTGATCACCTGGCTCGGGGTTGATGCCAGTTCAGTCCTGCCTCGTGCTCCCTGTGGCTGCTTTTATTCAGAGTATCTGCATCCTAATTGGCAATGCAGGAGGATTGCCCACTGCAGAGCATCTGCTGTGCTTCACAGCACTGAGACTTCTGCTTCCAGGAGTGACCTGCAGCTGTGTTTCAGCCAGAGGGAGGAGGATCTCTGCTCTTCTGCCTGCCTTGGTTCTGCTCTGCACGAGCACCAGTGGAACTCCTCTCAGCTCAGCCCTCTCGGTTTCCACACAAGCAAACATAGCCTGTGGCTACTTCAGTGCAAAAACAAAACACTTATAACAAGCAAGGGGAATAACTTTCCAGCTTCCTTTTCTTGATGTGTGTTGCAGGCTTAGCCCAACTGTGAAATGGTGCCTTAATGGTGGGGAGGACAGCATGAAAAAACTCAAAACCTGAGGGCTTTTAAATTGACTTGAATTATGACATGCCACTAAAGGTAGTGTGAACACTAACTAGAAAATGCAAGTTCGTGGTTTACAGGGGCATAAATAAGGTTTAATGGAACTCTGTGACATCTAATGATATCTAATAGGAGGAAGATTTAACCTTGTTTGGGGGAAGGGAATAATATTAAAAAGTGCTCAGCTTCACCAAAGGTACTTCACTGAGGCACTTGTACAATCAAAGCCATCCTTCTGACAACTTTGCTTCACAGCATATCAAATTAATAGTGCAGCTCCTGCAGACAATGGAGCTATTGAAATGCTGTATCTGTTGTGATTGAGTTTTATTTATTTTCCGGTGAATGACTGAAATAGCAGCTGTCAGTATTCCTGAATATTCCACCCCAGCTTTTCCAGTGCACTTGTTTATCTATACATATTTCATGTATATCTAATAAATGGGAGGGGGGAGTTAAACTCAAAATGATTAAGATGCTTACAGTTGGCTGAAGTCAAAGCTGTAGGGCAAGAAAGGGGTTTTGAAGTACTATGTATTAATGTTTTTCTTAAATATCTCAAATTGTCACCTCCCTGCAGCTTTAGTTTTCTACAACTGTGATGATTAGTTCAGCCAAAAAGTCTGGTACCCTTAGGCTGGTTTTTGTCTTGAGTTTTGGAGTTTTTTTCCTTTAAGCTTGCAACAGGTCCATTATTAGATGTTTCAATATAGAAGGACATTCTTTTATTTCAGCGCTTGTCTTTTGTTATGAGATGTTTAAGAATGAAGCATTCTAATTTATTCTTCTGCAAGTCAGAATTAATCATAATTCTATTAAGATATGATGGCTGCGTTGGTGAAATTCTAAAATTCACTGTCTTTGGTATTCATCTCCAAAACACAGAACTCTGTGACGTTTGCATTCCTGTTAACAATGATGATGGGAAATCTTATTGCTTAACTCACTTGTAAGAAAAATCAATTTTGCAAAACAATAATGAATGGAGGGGAGGGTTCTGTGTTTTTCAGAAAGCTGATGAGAGTGACTTACTTGTGTGGTTCACTGGATGCAACACAAATTAGTAACCTATTCGTAGATCAGTGTTAGGAAACATGGAGCCACCTGGAATCAACCTGGAATACCATGAGCAGGTTCTTCCTGTGAGGTGCCAGTGCTGTTTGGATGAAAACACGTGTAACTCATTAGAAGGGGGGGAGGGAAAACTTCATATTTGTATTTCATCTCGTCTGCGAGCAATTTCAGGACTTAACAGCCTTGTGCAGGCATCTGGCAGATATTCTTCTCCCAGAACTTTCTGAACACAATGCAGGATGTGCCATCCTAGGCAGGCAGCAGGAAGTCTGCTGGGACTTCCAAGGGAAGCTCTGGGACTGGCAGCTCCACTGTTTCAAATGCAAGGGGGTCTGGAGTAAATATCTGAGGGCAGAGGAATCCTCTTACTCAGCCCTTTCTGTGCAACTCTGACAGCAGCAAGGAAAGCCTGGTAAGAGGTCACTGGCCCAGTTCATGCTGGAATGTATATATAAATGCTAACTTGTATTTCTCATGCAATTTTTGCTTGTAATCTTGTCATCTTGGATGACTTCAGATTTATCTGAGAGTGGTCTTGTCTGCCTTGTTTAGGTAGGAGACAGGTGAAAGACAAAAGTTGGATCTGCCAGTTCTCTTTGGTGTAGACAGCTCTGGAGGGATCCACCTGAGAGGGGAATAACAGGCACAGCCTTTGCCTCATTCCCCACCCATGGGTGGGTTTTCTGCTCAAAAATTTGTCTGACCTCTCTGCAAACCATCTTTGTGGAGAGGAGAGATACTGCTGTCCTTCAGGTCCTACTGCATGAGTGACAGAAGTCTTGTAAAGGCAAATGTGAAGCTCTTCCTTCACTTTCTGTGGATTAGTCCTTCGGGAATAACAGTATTGCTGCTGATGTGTTAGGCTTTGTCATGCTGGGCATAGACACTGTCAAAACTGTCCCTGATGGTACAGTCTTACACTGTAAAAGAGGGAGTGTGGTGAAGGTATGAAAATCTCAAATGAAATGTTCATGGTCCTTCAGACAGGTACTGTTAAGCTCCATAATTAGAAACAATGCCCAGAGCTTATTCCCTGTGGAGGCTTCCTAGGTGGTTTTATGTATATTATAACAATCTTGGCTACTGCAGGAATTCACAGAGCTCCCTCAAGATCTGTTTACATCTTACAGATTCAGGTCTGTTGCCATCTGCTACAACTAGAAAGAGAATTAATTCTGTGTCTGCTACACTGAATGAGGGGCTTCTCTGAGATGTATCAAGGGAGGAGATGTGCTGCAGCCTGGTGAAAGGAGAGGTGACGACAGCACGAGGGGTTCTTGCTCTGTCGTAGGTGTTTATTAACGCAGGGACATGTGAGGATACAGAATCAAGAGCACTGTCTCCAACTGTGAGGGGAGAGCTAACCCTTATATAGGGTTCGGGGTGGAAGGATCTGGAAACTGGGAGGAGCATGGGACTAAACAACCAATGGGGATTCAGCAACATGCATAAATTAACTAGGAGCCAATAACATGGAAGGAGGGAAACGGCAGGACCGCCCACAATGTGGCAAATCCTGGCCAATGAGGGAGAGGGAAACCTTGACCAATCAGGGAGGAGAAAATTCATGAGGGGACTAACATGTTCATACATGTCGAAAAATAATATAACAAATATAACTGGGGTACAAACACCAAAAAGCATGCATTAACAGTAAACACTATAAACATCAGTCAAACGATTACAGAACACTCCATTCATCTACGAATCAGGCCTAAACTGCCTGCAAACATCTGTGTTATTAGGTAAGAGTCCTTTTAGTATTTGTCATATATCGCGCGCCATTTCTTGTATTCCTCTTGCTTCTTTCGTTTGTCCTCCGCAGAGATGATAGACAGAAAAATGATATTTCTACCTTTTTCCCAGCAGTTACCAGAGAGTCTGGTTTGGTTTTGGTGGGGTTTTTTTCCTGAAGATTTAAAAGTTCATGAGCATAATGGGCTTGCTTTTTGGAATGCAAGTAAAAATAGGGCAGGATAATCACATCCTTAACTAACAGTAGCTATTCTGTGAACGTCTGTCACTGGTGCTCCCCAGTGAACAAAGTGCTTCATGAGTTATTAAAGATTTGTGCCAGGTGCTGCTTTCTGTGTTATGTGTCTCTGAAGAGATGAGCAGATATTACAGTGAGCCCTCCAAAGACTAGACCATTTTTTTTAAGACTGGATTTTTTGAAGTTGTCATTAGATGCTCAAAACAATTACGAGCTAAAGAATCACAAGAACCACTGGGGGTTTTTGACAGCCACCATTCAGATGCAAACTAGACATTATTGTGTTTTATTACCTAATTATTTTTGTTACCAGAAATTGTAGTCATTAAGTGGCTTTTCTGCAAATTTTCCTACACAAGGAAGAACTTGAAATCAAAAGCAAGTACTCTTAAGGGAGAAGTTCTTTATGGGTTGCTAGAAATTCACTGAGTTGATAATACCAGATACGGAGAGCTACTTTTGGACTACAGCTTGTATAAGAAATTCCTATCCTCTGCCTTAAAAATCTCTTTCTAAAAGAATAAATGAGCTTTTCATATATTGGATTTTCTCCTTAGTTTCTTCCTCTTTTTTTTTTTTTTAAATAAATTTATCATGAAGTCCCTTCTTAATGACTTCTCAAAACTTTGCCTTAATTCCTTTGCCAGGCTCCCTAATCTGCCAGAGACTTTGATGGATCCACTTTTGATTTGCTATTTCAGTAGACTAAAAATTCGGTCCCTGCTAAGAAAATTGCTTGGACACCCTCCCAGCAGAACATGAGCACAGTGGAAGAGAAAAGGTGGCTGGTTCCCTCTGTAGTAAATGTTTGAGATGCATGTGCACATCAGCATTCTGCACCCTGCCTGCACGGGCAGAGTTTATTTTCGCTCTTGCTGTGAACTGAGGGAAAGTTGAGGTGTCTGCACCCTTCTGGCCTCGGGCAGGAGCACAAGGAGACCCTGGGCACACTCCCAGCTCTCAGACTGGGAGCACTGGTGTGTGTGGGTACAACACACCTCAAGAACAGCTGAGTGGAGCAGGATTCTTCAACCATATCTGAGAGGCCATCAGAATGTTTCCAGCTGCGTGGTTCTTGAATATAAAAAAGGGGATTTAATCTTGAAAGTGCAGGTTGTTTTCAGAATCCAAAAGCTGTTTGCTATAAGTGCGTTACTATTAAAATGTTAGGCGAGTTTTGTAAATAACTTGTCGTGGACAAACTGGATGTAACAGGAAGGGTGCTGAGTTATGATAATGTGCTTAATCCTTGGGATATCATTCAAACTGGTACCATTTGTATGTCCTATTACTAATCACACATCAACCACTGGTTTCTGGACCACTCAAATACAGAGGTCTTCTGTCTTTACACAGCTCTGCTCAACATGCTTTCCTCAGGTGGACCAGCTGTTAGTTAAGATACAATTGAAGACAGGGAAACATTCTTCAAGGGTTGGGTTGTGCAGTGTGGAATTACATGGACAGTAATCACGTAGATTAAAGCCTTCTAGATTAATGTTTAACGGCTGCTTGCTGGGTCCTTGGCTCTGTTTCAAAATCCTAAGGAGGCGGTAACTGTGCAGTTACCAGATGTTCGCTTTTCGAGCTCCATCTCTTCCCCTCGGAAGAAAAACCCTCCGGTGTGAGCGCACTGTGAGCGAGACACGAGCCCCCTCCAGTGGAACGTCTGGTTTTTCCTGCTCGCTACTGTCAGCCCAAGGAAAGGCTGGTCCTGGTGCTCGGCTGCCTTTGGCTCGAGGTGTTGTGAAAGCTGCGTTAGGTGTTCTGGAAATGAAGGAGCAGCCGAGGTTCTGATGAGGATCGTGGTTGGGCAGTCTTTGAATTCAGATTCACTATGTCCACAGCTAGGGCCTTCTGGAACATGAGTGTTTTTTCCTCAGAGCTGAGACCTGTGCTGTGGAAATCATAAGCACTGAGATATCAAAGATGTGGTAAACTCTTCATCTTGAATAAACAAGGAGTCCATTAAAAAGTGCTTTTAGAGGGGGCATGTAACACTGTAGCTGGATAAACTGGTGCAGATGTATTTAGTTGGGAAGAGCAGTAGTGAAGTTACATTAAAAAATACTGAGGCTGCTCCAGCCCATCATTTCTCATTTGTAAAGACTAGAAACGTTGTTCTCACCTGTCAAAGGGGACAGGTCAGCTCCTGAATTTATTTTGCCTGCTTTTGGAGACAAAGGCAGCTGTGGCACTGCTGACTTGCACAGGAGCCAGTGATTAGTGATGACTGTTACCGGTTAAAAGCAAGATAAAGCCTACTCATTTCAAGCAATTTATGTCCCGGTATATCTCAGCTCTTGAGTTTGCTCAGAATACTTTGCTTGCTTTTCTGGGTGCTCTATGAATGGGTAAATATTTTCACTTTAACACAGCAGTGACTGGTTTTATTTTTCTTTTTTCTTTGCAGTGATTCTATTCTGTATGGCAGCCCTAATATTTCCAATAGGATTTTACATCAATGAAGTTGGAGGTCAACCATATAAATTACCCAATAACACAGTGGTTGGGTCTTCATATGTACTGTTTGTCTTATCAATTTTCTTTACAATAGTGGGACTTCTATTTGCTGGCAAAGTTTGTTTACCTGGCTGATGAATGTCTGAACTGCAGGACTTTGTTTTGGAAAAGAGCAAGACATCAGAATTGCATTCTCAGGAGGATGCCTAAATCAGACTATCAAACACTGACTGAAAAGAGGAATGCTTTGACTTGTTCTCACTATGCACTTTGGATGAAAAAAAGGAGAGCCTTTCCCATAACCAAATACAGCCACCGTGGACTAATCTCCTGAGCATACTCTAATGCAGTCAGGTCTGCACTGTGATAGGAACTGGTGAAGAATGCTTTACACTGAGAAGCAGAAATGCCCCGTGTTACTGGACTGTTCCTGTTTTTAACGTCTAACCATTTGGAAGTCAAAGTATTTATGAACTTTGTGGTAGACCAGAGGGTTGCAGAGGAATTCAAGTGAGGCTGGCCTCGCTGTTTAGGAGATTAGCGTTTTACATCTTCCTTCTGTTGAGCAAAGCCTTTGGCACCACCGTGGATCAATCTCGCATCACTGCACCAAGAAGCCAATAGATCAAAACATGTTCTCTAAATGTATGTAACAGCAAGAAGACATACATCCCCTCCTCCCCCATGAGCTCTAGGAAACACTAAGGAACGTTCTAAAGGGGGATCTCTTCCTTATATTTATATAAATATATATATAAATATATATATATATTTTGCTGATGCAGTATACAGTGTGTGTGTATGTGTGTGTGTGTATATACACATATGTATATATATATATATATGTATATACACACAAATGGTTCCTGGAAAAGAACTCAGAACGCTTTGCTAGCAAAACACTGTGGTGTGCAAAACTAGAACTCAATAGAAAAAAGCCATTTCTCTGAAGGCCACATAGCTGAGAGTCTTCAGTTTACCTCATTCTTTGTAGCAGCCCTTGATTTTAACAGTTTTTTGTAATAGGTACAAACGGTCCCATGCCTTTCTAGGTGCAATTTTAAGTTAAGCTAAAATTCTTTTTATGGTAATTTATTTGTATATGAGGGTAGAAGGTGAGATCATGTCATGCCGTAAAGTTAAAATCCTAATTTTGGGAAACTGACACTATTTAAATTATTAGCAACTGTTGTACAGAAAATCTCTTTTTCTACTGCATTGTGACATTAGCATTCATACATGTTCAAGCACAGCATTTTACCATAGGTAAGCATTTCTCTAGCACATGTAAAATGCAATGTTTAAAGTAATGCAAACACTGTTCCACTGCAAAGATGGATGAACTTATTTTCACTCGAGTATTAATTCATCTTTGCCAAAAAAAATGAGCAATATAATTATTGAAAAGTATATGCCTTGTTTACTAAAGTTGTTATTTTAAATGTCGATTTAATGACCAACCAAATTTGGAGTAAATATTCCTCACTAGAAGTAGTTTTATTTTTCAGCACATGGATAAACCATTGAGCCCACAGACGTCTTAATTCACGACTTGGTCTGACCTTGCAGACAGTAGTTTGGTGTTGCAGGGAAGCTGCCTGCACTCTCAGTGTTAGTTTTCCATCTAATCCATGGTTCACCTGAGGTTCATGATGAAAACAAAACCAACGGTGTGTTCCGAGGGCTGTTCCATTGCGGTTACCAGGGGAACTGCATTTCTGAACAGACACTGGCCTAAATGAGGTGGTTATTGAAATATAATCAGCAGTTCCCAAATGAATCACTGATGAGATAAGCTGAAGTGTTTGAAAAGAACACAATTTGCACAATTATTTTAAACTGTGTGCCATTCAGACCCTCGTGGGTCCCTGTCCTTCTCACCTCTTCCCTCTCCCCCTCCCGGTGTATTTTAATACAAAAAGATTATTTGCTGATTTAAGTCTTTTTTTCTTTTGAAATTTTTGAACAAACTTGTCACTGGAATGGTTCATAAGCAATTTTTTCTTTTCCAGTCAGCTCGTTCACAGGTAGAATGGAGTGTTTATGGATAACTAAATTTTTCTAAAGTATACTAATCTGTAAATACAGCCAGGCACCTACTTTGAAGTAGTGGTTTAAATATGATTTGGTTCCTAATTTAAGTCTGAGGTCCCTAGTGATGTTGGTGGAGATAAAAGGCAGGGTTCAGCTGCTTGATATGTGTCAAAATTTTGGTGTTATCACTACTGTGTCCTAAGCTAAAGTATTCACTAAAACTTAGATTATAAATTATGTTAAAATAAAAAAAAGGCTGTTATTTTTTTCAGAAATGTCACACTTGTAAATAGTTCTAGATTTTTGTAACTGGAACACAGGTGGGGGGTGGGGAGGGTTTCTCAGCTGCTAAGATTTCTTCCCCTTCCCTGCTCCCCCCAACTTACTTATTTCAGTTATAGTAACGTCATATGGATTTAGGCTTTGATTAAATGGATCATCATGTAATAAAAATAAAAAAAGAAACACTTATCTTGGAGTATATCCAGACTGTGGTTGGCTGACTGGAAATTTATCTGATCTGCCAATGCTATTGCTATGAATTATTAAATGATAACAGAGATTTAACAAATAGATTTATTAAATATTTGAGCATTTTAAGTCCAGAAATAGATGCAGCCATTTGCATTTAAAAAAAGCCCAACCCAGTAATCTAAGAGACAGCTGTCAACAGTTGCTTTTAATAAGGTCACTAAGTACTATATAGTACAGTATTAATTTATAGCAGAAAATCAAATCTTGTAAACTGTATATAAAACACTGTTTTATGGTGCAATCATTTGTCAAACTTATGTCCGTTACTTTTTTTTTAAAGTTGTGTGCATTCTTTTCATACCTAAGAGCATCACTGTAAAATCTGCTGAAGACTATTTATAGGTTTTATTTGCACAAGGTTTTGTTTTGAACTACAGGAAGTTCGTATTGAACATGCCTAAACATCTGTAGACTTTTTCAGTTCATGAAAAGCAAATGTTTCCATAGGAATCTTCTCCAAAGGTAATCCCGTATTTGTGTTGAGTGTTTACATAAACTTTTCTGATTCTGCCAGCCATTATTTTTTACTTCTTGAAGGACAGCTCATTTCATACGTCACTAGAGAATCTCGTTTAGTCTTTTGCTTCAACATTCCCCCAGAGGTTTGATGTGCCATCATAATGTAATTCGTGCACACTTGTCATTTCTTTGGCTAACAATATGTTAAGATTGGAAACTTGAAATACTTTCAGAAGGGAAACTAGTTAATTTGTCTGTATAAACATCATCGTTGAGCTCAGCTGAAATAATTGCCTGGAAGCTGTTTGCCTTGGACCTGGGGAGGGTGTGCCTTCCTGGGCACATCAGGCTGACCATTTAACGTGGTTTTCTGTTGTTGCTCTTGCTGGAGAGCGATGCCAGTGTCCCGTAGACACTGGTAGAGCCCCACCACCCTGTCTCCTGGCCGAGGTGGCACCGCCAGGTTCGGGCTCTCCTGCCATCCCTGTGTTTCTGAGCCGTTGTCGAACCACTCCAGAACACGACTGTAGGTTACTGTTCGCCCCGACACACACACACACAGGAAAATGGAAGCTGTCCTTTAAAACCTTTGTGAAGGATGAACATAATGAAGGAAATGGTGTCTGCAGGCGGGCTGTCCTGCCTGGGCGCGCGTCGCTCCCGCTCAAGGCCGGACCGGCCGCCTGCGCCCCCGGCCTTTACTGAGGGTTGTTTTCTAATTGGTTTAGAGCATTTTTTCAATTAATGATTTCCGAACAAATGTTAATACAAACTGTATAAAATGAACATAATTTTCTTCACTTGTATTTTTGTTATTGAGCAAGTTTATCAAAATAAATTGTCTACTAAAGCGACTGGCCCTGACTGCGCTGACTGGAACTGGCCCCGGCCCTGCATTCAGGTGTCCCCTCCAGGTGTCCCCACAGCAAGTCCTGCAGCTGTGCCCTCAGGTGTCCCCCTCAGGTGTCCCTGCAGGTGTGTCCCCAAGTGTCCCTGCAGGTGCCCCTGTAGGTGTGCATCAGGTGTTCCTCCAGGTGTCCCCACAGCAAGCCCTGCAGCTGTGCCCTCAGGTGTTCCCCCTTGGGTGTCCCCCTCAGGTGTTCCTGCAGTTGTCCCCCCTCAGGTGTTCCTGCAGGTGTTCCCCCTCAGGTGTGTCCCCTCACGTGTCCCCTCACGCCGCCGGCCCACAGCGCCCTCAGGCGGCGGGAAGGGGCGCGCCGCGGCCGCCCCGTCTCCATTGGCAACGCCGTAACACGGCGGAGCCGCCGCTCCGAGCCGGGCGGGACCGGGCTGGGCCCCGGAGCCCCGCACCGGGGAAGGGTCGGGGGAGTGCTGGGAGGTGCTGAGGGGGCTTGGGGGCCGAACCCTGGCGGGGGGCCCGCCCGGGATTCCGGGGCGTGCCCAGGGAGGGGGGAGTGGTGTGGATGAGTGTTACGGTGTGGGGGAGCTCAGGGGTCTTTTCCTCCGTGGGGTGAGGAGAATCTGTGGGGACGGGAAGGGTTGCTCTGACGCCGCTGGGAGCGGCGTGGGCCGGGGCGGTGGAGCCCCGCGGGGCGAAAGCCAGGGTTTTATGGCGATTTTTGCTCAGTTCGTTCCGCGCCTCAGCCCGAGGGGCGGCCCTGCCACCCGCGCCCAGCCCGGCTGTCCCAGCTCCCGCCACCCCTCTGCGTTTTGCTGTGTTTAATCTCGTTTCCGGCTGTGGAAATTATATTTAACTTATATTTAACTGCATTAAATCCCTTAGCGAGCGGTTCCTGCAGAATAGTTCCTAAACGCGTTTTCTATGAATGGATAATTGTAATTTCTCTGTGTTTGTTTTTGTTTGTTTGCCGTTGTCCCACATACAATACAAATTATCATTTAAGTTGCTGACAATGTCAACAATACCTTTTTAAGTAATGTTTATTCCTGAGTATTTAAACTTCTTTGCTTTTTGTGGTTTTGCTTTTATTTTTAACAAGGCTGAGTCTATTCATATCATGGATACACACATCAGGAAAACGGCGTGGTTGTTGGACAATGATCAGTTTTTGGAAAAAAATGGGTGAGGAAATTGTTACAAAATCTTGTTGGAACTTCATACATAGATATAAATTATAGCTCATATAAACTATGTACTATGTCCCTTCAAAACATTTATCGTGTATTAAATGAATGTTTAAACAATTGGCAAAGTATAAAACAGTTTCTACAGAAAAAAAAAAATTTATGGCAATACAGGAATATTATGGGTAATGAAGTAATCCCATATAATTAATTGTCTTGTAGGATGGCCACAAAATGCCGTCTACAGGGTGATCATCTACCATGGCAAGATTTTACTGTGTCTCATCTAGGACCAGATAGTGGATTATTGGGAACACATACCAACAAGATACAAGATCTGCTGGTAGGCAAATTTTCCTGCTAAATGGAGCAACTAGAACAGTAATACATACCCACTATAAATAGAGAGAGAAATAAATAAGCCGATAGACAACTAATATGTTTCCATATATATATTTGCATATACATAGACAATTTGATGGATACAATCACTACGTGTAGTTTCTCTGCAGAGATATATCAGTCTGTGAACAAATCAGGCAAAACAATAAATGTAGATCAACTGTAGACCCTGCATTTTTCTTCAGAGAAGCAGAAGGCTATATGTCCCTTCAAACTCTTGAGTCATGTTTTGGGGATGCTTGTTTTGTTTTCCTCTCTGGTAAATCACTGGGGTATTTATTGTAATTCTTTTACTGAACTCTCCTATTTCTTGTGTTCCTTCCTGTCTCCTCCTAACTAAGCTCCCTTTCCTTTAGCTCACAATATGGGGAGGTTTCTGAAAGCTTCTTTTCCTTTGCATCCCACATCCAACAGAGTATTCCAGTACCTAAAATTATGTTGTTCCTGGACGTGCACTGCCTACCAGCAACTCTCCTTGGGACATATATTTTTGTCCTGTTTGAACAGCGCATTTAATTTCTAATGCTGCATGTAATTTTTTCTTATTTGACCTGTAGAGTGGACAAATGAAGAAAATACAGTCTCAAATGATGCAAACCACAGAAGAGTGGATGAGAAACTACAGTTTAGAATCCTTGCAATTAACATTCGAGTATCTGGTAAATAAGGGCAATACTATTCCCTAAGTACAACACTGCCCTTGCTGCACTTGGTCCTGATTTGTGTTAATTATGCTGATGTTAATTATGCACAGCGTTCCAGGAATTCAGGAAATGGTGTTGAAGGGATGGTGTTTACAGAGGAGACTCTTACTGATTTTGAGTCCAGACTTTCTGAGTAAGTATCAGTGCCATTTACAGTTTTGATCTGTAACTGATTGTGTATCCCCACTCCTCAGGACTGCAAGTCCTGCCTTAAATCTTAATTTGTTGTCTGTGGGAACTTCAAAGTACCTCAGCATTAAATCCTTTCTGCTGAGGTTTAGGGTAGGAGATAATTGTGTATCACTACAGCTGGAGCTCAGTGGGTTTTTTTAATGAAGATGCTCATTAAGCAGGTGTTGATGGGAAGCAGCTCATTTTAGAAAGGCAGCTAATGAAGAGTCAGGTTTTCACAGGTAACACTCTGTATTTGTGGGTTATTTCTACTGGGTTAGTTTCAAGTCATGGAGCTGGTCATGACATGCAGAAGTTCAGCATTTTCTAAGTGAATTTTAAATGTATAAAACCAAGAACACTTAAACTGAGGAAATCATTTCATTCATAGGTTCAATAAACTGTAGAGTAAACAGTATTTTTACTGGCCTTCACAATTCCCAGGAGTGCTGCCACTTCAGCATACCTCACCATGTCTGGCTTTTGTAAAAAAGAAGCAGCTTTTCTCTTTTGAAAAAGCAACAAGGTTTTTCCCCTTTCATATATTCGTTTCAGCTTTTTGTTTCAACAAACTGTAAAAACCCTGTGCATGGTTTTAAAAAGAAGGAGGTAAAGTATAACAGTCTTAGTTTTTCAAACACCTCCATATCTGATCAGTCAAAGGGCTTTAGGGGAAGAGGGTTTTAAATGGTTAGCCCTGCAAGCACCGGTTGTGTAAGAGCACTGAAAACGGTATTTTTAAATACCTGTTTCTCAAAGATTTTGCATCTGTGAGAAAAGGGATGTGATGAAGACAGATGGTTGATTGTTGATTGTTACTTGGAAACACAATGGCAGAGAATGCCTTGGCTAAGTGTGTGCTATGCCTTTTGTCAGAGCGATGGAACTTTATCAGCAGAGAATTCAGTGGCTCTTGGAGGACAGCAGGAAGGTAACTTTAACTTTGCAATATGTTTTTAGAGTGGAACTATATATGGAATTAAAGAATATATTAACTTCTGAATGCTAGTGAGAAGTGACTTCCAGAAAGCTTATGCATGTTCAATTTTTACTGAGTTCCACATCATGTGCAGCGATCTTAACAGTGATTTCATTGGTCTGCAGTTTTCTGCTTTCCAGATCTAGTATTTTTCTTTCTCTTAGCAGTTTTAATCATCAGGACCTCCCAGCACAATTTAAATAGGAGCAGACAATGCTGGGCATCCTCTGACTGGAGTTTTAGTGTCTTTTAGTCCATTGTGCCCTCTCTTGCCCAGCTGGTTATGCACCAACTTTGCCCAGCTGTGCTGAGGCTCAGGATGTAACCCCCTCTCAAAGGGGAGGGAGAAGGAAGCAGCACTCCAAAATCTGCTTGCCATAAAGTTGCTTGATTTGGCCTGAGGGAGATGCTGTAGACAATGTTATGTTTGATTTATCCTCTCAAATATGAATGTTGGGAAGGAGGTAATACGATTCGCTGGTGAGGATTAACTGGGACCCATAGGCCTCTCTTTTGTTTAATTTTCTTCTTTTTTATCCCTTTTTTCCTTTTTTTTTTTCCCTCCTTGACTTTGTCACTTTAGGCTAAAAAGTTTAAAACGAAAATAAATATCCAATACATGATTTTAAAATGGTGTTGTTCAGAATAAACAGTAAAATTATTAAAATTTAGATAGGCTAGTATTTACAAAGCCTTTTCTCCTGTAAGGTGTTTGGTGTTATAAAAGGAACCAAAGTTGGACTTCTGATTGATGTGTCTCACATGAGTTATGGACCAAGGCTACTGGATTTTCAGAAGGACCTTTTGGTAAGTAAGACTAAAATAAATTCTGACAATTCTAACATTATTTTTATTACGGTATTGTTATTAAAGTTTCTCAATTCTATCAGCATTCTCTATGGGATAAACTTGCCTAACAGAAACAGAGGTAGAGCCCAGTTGTACTTGGAGCTATTTATAGTAAAAATGGTTTTCTTATGCCTTTATCTTTGGTCACAAGGCACATTTCACAATCTTGGTCAGAACCTTGGTGAATTAATCACTTTCTGAATTCTCAGAAGGAAGTTATCCTTTATTATGCTCTTTATTTTTAGAAAATTTATGTAGTAAGGAAGGTAGATATAATGCAGCTGGTTACTGTTTAAATTTGACAGTTGGTACAGTTTAATTTCCCACATTCTTGAATTATTTAACATCAATTTATATTAGGTACATCCTTCATTTGGGTGTTTCAGATAAAACTCCCTCAGGAAAACTCAGTTTCTTAGCCTTAATATTTGAACTATTGTTTAGCCCCGTGCATGAACATGCACTAACCATTTTTGGTACTTGCTTGGTTGGTGAATATGTGCATTCTAGATCAGTGTTGTTTCATGTGCTCATCAACTTTGGAGAAAAAATGATACCCACAGAACAAATATTGTTTGATTCCTGCCCCATTAACAAATCAGTCAGAATACCATAGGTTTGCAGGTTTTGTCTCTGTACTCCTCACCAAATATTTGAATATGTATGAGTTTTTCTTGAAAGCTTTTCTCAGTGGTAGCTCAAAATATTGCTGTCAACTCTTTTTTAGGAAATCACTGTTTTTTAGTCTTTTACATAATAACCCTACGACTGGATAGTAATGCATTTTCAACTTTTTATTTATTAGTGCTTAATAGACGAGCAGCTTTGTTATAAGAAGCAATTGTACTGCCTCTCATTCAGCACCGACATTTCACCACTGTGGGAGAGTCCAAAAAACATCAACGTTCATGTGTGAGTTCATTTCTCAGAAAAATAAAGGTGTTTCACACAAGGTCTCCATTTCATTAGAACAACCTGTTTAGGTAATAGTGTTTTTCATCTTGTGCCTGTAGGGATTTTAAGAGGGGACAACAAGCAATGAGTCCAACATGCAGTCAATGATTTCCAGCGGGTTGCTCGTGTTTAAAATATCTGAACAGCTCCTGTGGTTCGTAATAATTTTCATGCTCTTCCTCTTTAGCACCTGTAGATACTCTTTTTCTTTTCTCTCCCCTCCCAGGCTACATGAAGTGAGACAGTGGATACAAGAGCTGGAGCCTGGGCAAGGCTGCAATGTGCTGAAAGCCCTAAAGAGTGTCCTTACCATGAAAGACCTGAATTCCCTGGTTCTCATTGTAGGAAGCTGGTAAATTCATCCTCTCTCTTAACAACCAGCTTTAGCTTGGATACAGAACTGGTACAAGAAACCCAACTGGATACAAAAACAAACAGAAAATTTAAGATCCAGGTTTTATATGTTTTTAGTTCATACCATTGAATTCTTTTATTTGTTCTCTTTTTTACTATTTATAAATCTTCTCTTTTCTGGTACAAAGCTACATTTTTCCTTTGCAGATCAATTATCGCAGTGATCTATTGAGAGCCTGCCAGCTCTAATTTTACATCAAGAAAAATCGTCCATCATCATTAAGGATGTCAGTGAAAGGGTCCATGCCTCTGTGAAGATTAGAGGATAAACTAGATTTTGTTCTACAATAGCATTAAGTGTTGAAGGATTGTCTTCTCTCTGTGATCTTGGTTGTGCTAATGGAAAACCTAAAATTTCTGACTGAATAAATGAAACCAGGCTGAGATTATATAAATTATGGAATTAAATTCTGCAGTTCTGTTGTCACAGTTTGAAAACTGCAATATTGGAGTTGGGATTACAAGAAAAAGTCTACAGTAAGGATTCTAGGAGTGTTACCCTACTCCTAGTTTATTAATTGTAATTCAAGTTCTAAAATACAAAGCAAAGTTTTCCTTCCTTTTGTGCCTTAGGAGGACGGTATTGAAGGGTTTTCTGTCATTGTTTGTCACAGGGGCCAAAGCCACAGCTCCTCATTTTTCGCTTCCAGGGCTAGCAAGGAATGATTTAGATCATTTCATCCACAAGCTGTCATAAATTGGAATAGAATCTTAGTGGGTTTGTTATCATTGAGGTTTTCAGGACAGAATTAAACACCCCAGTAGCGGTACCTCAGTAATGGTTGAAAGATGGAGAGGAGGTCAGGTTGTGCTAAATGCCTAAATCATTCCCGGGATTTATTATTTCTTTCCCACTTTTTTTTCTTCCCTGCCTTCTTCAATATGGCCCTTTTTTCCCCCATTTAATTACTGCCATTGTTAATACCTCTTTTTCTTTCCTTTTTGTATCAGCCCTGATCAGTCTTTTGAAATACTGTGTGATTACACTCAGCAGTGTTTGCTGGGGAGAAAGCTGCAGATTCACACTGTCACATATGATTGCAGCAATCCTGCTTCTCTTGTAAGTCATTGTGTTAATAATTAACTGCCTTAAGTGTCTTGTCTTTTTTTTTTTTCTCCCTTTCAGCCGTAATGCCTTCTCTCATAAACTTGTGAGGGAGCTGACCTAGTCATTAGAGAGTTCTTGATTTAGTGTTGTACTTTCTTTAGAGGAGATTTGCACACATGAAAAAATCAGTTTGGAGCATCATCTTGTAACTTTACTGAGTTAGTTTTTCAACCACAGTAAAATAAGACTGATAAGCAAACGATGGAAACATAATTACTTTGGCTTTCTCACTACACATACCTCAAAGATTCTTTTCCTATCTCTAATTGAGAATTGAATACCAACAACCCAAAAGAGACTACAAATCCAAGTAACTGTTTTGCTTCCCGTTTCTGTTGTGCAGGCAGTTCTGAAGGATCTTGCAGAAGCTGTCCAAGGCCGTTATCATTGCTACTCTTCAGAGGGAGAGGTGGGTGACAGAGAGGCAAAGCATTTGTCTCTCTTTTTGATGCGTCTTCCCTTTGAGGTGGTAGAATAATTATGATGTGAGGAGAAGTTGAGAGCAAGACTTGGTGCTGAAAGTCTGTGTCACAGAAGTGCTGAGGATGTGGTCAGCAAACCTGTGGTTCGTTCCTTCTGCAACTGGAAATGTTCCTAAAAGCACAGTAAATTCTGCAGATGCTGTTTCCTGACTTAAAGCTGATGAAATCAGTGGCTTATTGTAGCATGATTCAAAATAATAACTTGTTTATAAATTATGACTAATTTAAATGCAGTGCATTAAATACATTTGCACTCAATTCTGCTATGCCAGGCAGTCTTGTACTGATGTGTGCACATTAAAATAAGAAAACTGGTGTGGGTTGGGGTTTGAATAGTGCTTAACTTATTCTTCCCCATTTGTTTTTATATTTGCAGAATTTTGATAGCAGTGATCTCCATTTGCTACTTCAGGAGTCCCTGAAGGCCAAGGACCTACTCAAAAGCATCAAACAGACTTTTCAAAGAAGACTTGATGGCTCAGTTAGTAGTAAAACAGCAGATGTATCCTTTATATATGTTGAATAATCAAGGTTAGAAATGTTTAGTGTTCACAATATGAAAAAAATTTGTATGATTAGTCAGGTATTTTCAAAATGTTCTGCTTGTTGAACTCACAGCACTTTAGTTTGAATTATGCCCACCAATATTCCATGCTGGAAACTTTGAACTGGGCATAAAAAAAATATGCTAAAACTTGCAAGAGCTTTTCTTAAAATCCATTTCAGTTTTCCACAGGATTTGCAAATACAGCACCTTCCAGCTTCTTCCCAAAGCCTCCAAAGCTCAAAGGACCATTAGTTATTCAAACACCAAATGTCCTGGCCAAAACCTCAGCAGACTGGTTAAAGACATATGGATTGAAAGGTGGCACAGAAAGAAAAATGTACCAGGTGTGAAATATGAATCAAAATCAGAGCATGTCTTTTATGTAACATATTTATTTCTTCCTGTAGCTAAGAAGTTAAACCTTTATCAAGTTCTGGCTCCCAATGCTTTCTCTCCTGTGGAAGAGTTCATACCTATTCTTAAAAAAAGAGTCTCATCAACTCTGCATGAGGTAAGTGATGAGAACTTCCTCTTCCTGTGTTTTTTTCTTCAGTCCTTTATAAGTTAGTGAAATTCTGCAGACTTTAAAAGAAGCTTGAGTCAGAGGTTCAAATCAAATACTCCCACCATTCTTAAGAATGATTATTATTTATCCTTCTAGAAAATCATGATGCAGTTTGAATGGTATGATGGGACTGTGAAAAACATCCATGTTGACCTGCCAGTATTGTACAACTACCAGGTGAGTTATCTGTCTCAGGGCTGGATTCCCATCTGATTATTCCACATTAAGTGTCCTTTTCTAGCTTGATATGCCCTCAGGTAATGCCTGCATACACTTGCAAAGGTCATTTTCTGTAGAATTTAGACTAATTACCTTAATGTCTTTAATTTGATACTGTTTTAAAGAATTATATGTGATTGGAAATACTGTGTTTATTTTAAATGATGTGTTTTGTTATGAACTGTGCCTAAAAATGCTATTGAAGAAATGATAAACTTGCAAAACCTGTATTTTTTAAGCTTCCTCTTTTCTTTTGGTAACATGCCTGACCCCTGTTTTGGGATGTGCTAGCAAGGGGAAAAGTGAAGAGGAGAGTTTAGACCTTTAGATTCTTTTTTGCTTTTTAATTTATCACTGTATGTTTTTCCCATGGACTGTATTATCTTTACTGAGAATAAAATGCTGCTGTCAAAATGAACAAAAATAATTTTTTTTTCATTACTGTGCTGTCACATTACTTCCGTATTAAGCATTTGATGATAAAAGACTTGAACTTTTTATTTAACATAAATTTTCTGCATTTTATCTACAGAAACTCCTTACTAAAATGGTAAATATCTATGAGAAACGAATTGACTGGCTCTCCATTGCTAGCAGGAGAATCTGGGGCAGTGTCTGTGAAAGGAGGTATTGTATCTGACAGCCCTTTTTTGTGAGGTTTGAAGCCTTCATCTCACTCTGTGTTTGGGGATGGTGCTTATTTACAGTGTGTCTGAGGCCTTACCCAGCTGCTCTTTTGGTTCTAAAATCTCACCTTATGTTTTGCAGAATTTTTTCAAGTATAAGTTTACTCTTTATACATTTTGATACACAGGTAGAAGATACTTTTCCCCTGGCACGTTGGAGTGCAGTGAAGATAAAAATACATAATGAAACAAGATTTTTTTTATTTTTCTTATCCAGGGTGGTTATACTTGTTGATATATCAGTGACAAACTCGCTGTACATCACCCAGATCCAACATTCCCTGCGACTTTTACTTGAGGAACAAATGGCAAATAAGGATTCCTTCAATATTATAGCGTGAGTAACTGCTGAAGGTTCTTTTAAAATAATTGTAATGTATTGCCAAGAAAGAGTCTGCTGAGAGATTATAGTTACTAATGGATATATTTTAGATTTCTAATTGCATTTAATGGTTTTTAGTGAAGTAATTGCAAGAGTAGCACTGGTTTGTCCATGCTGGGTGAGTGCATGGATCTGATGAACACAGATCAGATTAGTGATTAAAAATCACTGGTTTTGGTGTGGCTAACTGGAACTGATTGCATCATCCCTGCAATCCAATATTCATCCTGCTATATCGTTCACAACAGTATTAATGCCCCAAAGGAGATTTTTTCTTTTGCAGTGAATTTGTTCTTTCTTTTTGCTTGTTCTAAACCATAATCTGTAAATTAATTGCTGTTATCTTCCCATGAAAGATTTGGGAGTGACATTGTGCCTTGGCAGCAGGAACTGCTTCCTTCCCATCCAGAAAACTTAGAAAAGGCTTGGAGGTAGGATCAAATAATTGTGAGTTCAGTGGGAACAAAGAACACTGTGAGCAATTAAAAATATTTATACATTTATCATATTACAAAAATAGCTTGCCATATTCTGCACTATGCTAACATTTTGCCATATCAAATTGAGAGAGAATTATTTCCTTTTTATGCTCTGTATCTTACCTTAAAAACTGTTTTTCTATGGTGGCAGTACATAAATAACAGAACAAATAATTTGGGCCGTTATATAACCTGGTTTTACACTCTGTCATTCTCAAGAATTCGACTCCAGTATAGTGATATTTAAGATTCTTAGCTCTCTTTATTGCTTTAAGGAGAAACAAAAGCTTTTGTTTCTTCATTCTTTGAACTGTAAACATCATTTTTAGGTGGGTGTTGAGCCTGCAGTGCAAGGGCAGTAGAAATTTCCTGAGTGCACTCAGGAGAGCTGTAGAAGTTGACTTCAAAGACAAAGAGAAACACAAATCACAAGGGCTTTACCTGCTGACTACTGGAATACCTGACCAGGAGACAGTGAGTATCAGCACAGGCAACTCTTCTGTAAGTTCCTACCAGAATTAGTCTCAACTTTGTTTTTGTTTTTCTCTCTCTTTTCCCCTTTTTTTCCTTCTCCTTTTGGCAGCCCAGCTGTCAGGATCTCAAACTCCCATTTCTGCAATTGCTCTTCACATGTTGGAGGTAGCAATTATTAATAATGTGTGATGCATGGAAAATCCAAAACTTGCTCTTAGGATTCCTTCCCCCTCTCCAGCTCTGGCCATCATTTCACTGGACATTTCTGAGTTTGAACAACTCCTATTTTTTTTGTATAATGCCATTTCCTCTTAACTCAGAGAAACAAACCCACAAATAATTGTCCAGTGAAAGTCCACAGTACCTTGTGTAGAGACAGCTCCTTTTTTACCCCCAGTAACCCCTTGCTTGGATCCATGTTCACAGTAAAGGTGCTCTGGGGCTGTTAAACCGCCTGCACAGCCCAGAGCTCCTGACCAGGAGTGTACAGTGAGGTGTCTCTTCTCTGGAAATTCTGGGCAAAGCTAAGAAATCATCAGATTGGGAGGATTTGTGTGTCATTTGTGTCAGGAAGCAGTGGATTAGCCAGAAGCTTGTCTGAGGGTCACTACTGATGGGGTTTTTTCTCTGTCTTCCAGCACACCATCAGTGCTTACGTGGCTGAGGTTTGCAGGGGGTTTGATTTACAGCTCCACGTGTGTCTGTTCAGTGTTGGGAAGGACCTTGGCTCCAGTGGGGAGATCCCAGCCCGCTATGCCGACCCTACAGACACTGCCAGGGCCTTCAAAGAAATAGTGCAGGCTGCCAGGGGCAGATTTCACTGGTTTGGAGAAGCAGGTATGTGAGCAGGGAGTCAGCACGTACTTCTTGTTCATTAATGAAATAATATGTATTATTGCTTTTTTTTATTCCCAAATCAGGTAGTTTGCTTTTTTTTTTTTTTTAGGATATGCTAATGCTGTGCTGGCACTGAGATAGAAACTCAAGCTGTAGTTTTATTGAGACTTTCAGTTGCATTGCAGAATATGATAATGCAGCCTTAACACAGGAGTTTGGGTTTTTCTATTTGAATTCACCATTTTGGGTTATATTTTTTTAAAAATGAGCATTTAAAATATAGTAATATGTATATTATGTATAAAATATTCTAATCTGGTAGGTTCAGATAGTCAGGCTTGCAGGAAACAGAGGTTTTTTGATTCTTCTCACTGATATTGGGCATATCTACAAATTGTTGTACATTTACAAAAATACATATTCTGTACACTCAAAAAAACCCTAATTAGTGTCTGTTTGATTGTCAGGTATTTTTGAAAGTGATGATATTACCAGTATTGTGTCAGAAATGGAAAAAGCAAAAAGCTACTCCCAAAAGGTATGAATTATATGTAACTTTTTTAATTGTATGTTTCTTCCTAAAAAAAATTCTGCACAAAGCACAGCAAAAAGGGGTGTTAACTATTCAATTAGGGGTGTTGAGCATGATCAGATCGGTCAGTTCAATATGAATTTTATTAATTATTACGGTAATAAATGCAAAATACCTGTCTTTGAAATTTCATTTACTTAAATTTCACGTATGTGAATTCCTAAACCATGTGAACTTCCCTTTCAGTGTGCATTCCTGGTGGAATCCTTAAAGCAGCGTTCAGTAAATCAGTCTGTTAATCCACTGACACCGGAAGGAGGTTCAGATGCCCTTCCAAAGAAGGAGAACAGAAGGCCACAGAAGTTGCCATCTCCTAAACCCACAGCTCCGAGCCCAGCTAGAATGGTTTGAATGGTTCCCATTGTTAATGAGCTGGGGGTTAATTAGAGATCCTGCCCCAGCTATTGGATGCTGCTCTTTGTGCCACAAGGGCTCAGCTGAATATCTGAGGGAATTAAACCAGCACTGTGATAGAACTCTGAATTTACATTTGCATTCAAAATGCTACCTGTACCAAAAAGTCCATCTCACTGACTCCTGCTGAGGAATGAATTGTAGTGGAACCACAGTGTAGTGTCTAAATAATCCCCCTCTGACCTTAAAAGCTTAATAATTAATGAAAATATGGGCAAAGCAGAAATGTGCTTTACCAAATTACATCTGTTTTGCAGGTCCTTCTGGAAGGTACTGAATGTTATGGTGTTCTGCTCATTTACAGAGGAGCTGCAGCTCAGTAGCATGTCCAGCACAAAACAAGAGCAGGATTCAGGATTTGTTTCCTGCCCACTGTGCCTATTTCCATGGAGTTACACTGCTGAGTCCTTTGGGATTTGGCTGATGTTTTCTGTGTTGTTTTGGACTGTGCACACGTCTGGTTTGAGTGGGTGTGCAAATCTGTAATACAGAAAGGGCCAGTGCCAGTGTTTACCATTTTGGTGTGTAAATGAAGAGATACAGAGCTTTCTGTTGCAGAGGATATGTTTAACCTTTCACCTGGAACTTTCAGCTCTCGTGGGAACAGCATTGTAGGTGTGGGAATGCTGGGAATGGCAATGTAGGTGTGAGAATGTTACAGACTTTGTAGGTGAGCTCACTCAGGCCTTCCAGGCTGTGTTAGCAAAAGTGGCATATTCCCAACACCTCCTCACAAATGCAGGGGAAAAGTAATTGCTCAGAGACAACTACAAAGCATAGTTTTGCAGGGATTGAACTTGCAGAAAACTGGTACAGGGTTGTCTGTAGATGTTTGGGGGTATTTATAGTAGTGCCGTATGTTCAGTGAGATGTGACTTACCTGAAGGCTCAGTGTCACAGCAAAAGCCTTACCCTACACTAGGGTTACACAGGGGCTGTGTTGTTCAGCAGAGCCCCTGCTGGGATGAGCCAGACACCTAAAGGAGGAATTTCTGGGGTCGGCACTGGATTTCCACTGTTCAGTGAAATGCTGAGGAAGATGCTCTACACTGTATTCCATAAAACAATTCCCTTACCATACTAAACTGCACCTTCAAGTGACCAAGGTGGTCCCAACTCCTCTGGCTGTAGATGTTGGTCTCCAGTTTTATGGCAGCAGATGATATGGGCAAGATAATTAAAACAGAGCAATTAGAGTTACTTCACCCAGCAAGAAACCACAAATTAACACGTGGTCACGGCTGTCTGCTGACTTGCCAGAAAAACCAGATAAAGCAGAAATTGGAGAACAGTGAAGGGCAATTCCAGTTTTGAATAATGCAGTTATGATCCAACTGAAACACTTTTTACAATTATTTTTTTCATGTGCTTGTAGGATGTTAAAGACAACCACGGTGCAGGCAGAAATACTCCTGTAAGAGTCCTGGCCTGGCGTCCTCCCAGTGCCAAAGCAGAAATTCCACCAGGTCTGGATGCATTAGGGGCTTTTTCTCTTCAGTTTCTTTGGAGTTTGTTTTTTGTGTTTTTTTTTAGATTAGAGATTTTATTTAAGCTTTTAGAAACACGTGAAGTTTTAATCTTTAATCAGACTGATAGAAAACATTGTGGTTGTTTTGTGTAGTGATTTTCAGCTCATAATGATTGAATACCCAGCCTGTATCAGGAAATGTCTGATGTGTGTGGTGAAGAACAGGGTTACATGTAAGAGTTTTATCTAGCTGAAGTAAATTTTGTTGGTTTTTTTTTATTTCTTATTTATTTATAGCACAAACAGTAAAAGAATGGCCTCAGACTGAGAATAAAAGAAAGGATAAACCAAGGAAGCAGCCAGAGTTTTCTCTCTCTGTATTTTACACTGAGAAAGGAAGAAATGTGGGTAAGTCTTACCAGAATAGGATGCATTTTGATTATAAAACTTTCAGGTTGTTAAGTCTCTGATAACCAATGTCCTTTAAACGGCGAGTGGCAGTGAATTTATCAAATAGGGGTAAAGATTTTTTTGTTTGAGTGGGGGTGGGAGGCTCTGGTTTTTATCCTTTTTATTTCCTGTGAAGTTCTTTGGGGTTAAAGATGCTCCAAGTTAAAATGCTTTCATCGTGTTTTAGATGATTATAGAAGATTTGGTTTGGAATTTTTGGAAGGTGGCAGTTTTAAAAAATAAGTGACTTTTTTAGGTACTTTGATGTATAGAAACTGCACGATTTTGTGTGAAATGTTAGTCTGTGGGTTTGGGGGTTTGGTTTGTCGGGGGGTTTTGTCTGGTTGGGCTTCTTAAATCAGTGGTCATATGTGATTCAAAAGGGTTAATATTTTAACCTAGAGCTCTCAATATTACTGTTCATTTTCTTAAACAGGGACAGTGTACCAGAAATACCCAAAGACTCTGTGCATAAGAAAGTCCCATCCCTCTGTCTTGTTGCCAAAAGAAGAGGAAATCTGCTCAAGTAAAGAGGTCATTTTCACCTCACTAATAAATTGCCATTTTGGAACCATCCACCTGAATGAATGTGAACATGTTGATTGTGACTCTCTACAATGTATCATTACTTAAAATTAAAGTACTCTAACTATTTTCCAACAACCAATTGTTCCCTCGGTTTGTCTTACAAGTGGCTGGCCAAGTACAGTATAAAAAAGCTTGAACTGGAACTGCCCAGGCTGATGTTTGGTCCAGGCTGTACCCACCGAAACAAAACTGTGGAGTCCCTGCACAAGAAAGTATCAGCAAAATACTGTTCTATCTTCCCTAGTGCAGAAATCAATGTAAGTTTTTACATGTATCTACTTCACTGAAAGGCTTTGTATTTGTTTCAGGCAGTGCATGCTGATCAGTGTTTGTGGCTTGCTGGTGTGATGGTCTCTCCACTCAGCTCTGTTCTTCTTTCTAATTCATACTTCTGGTAGAAAGCCAGAGAAGGTCTTTTATTCACCACAAAAAAAAAAAAATTTAGGATGTTTGAAGTCCAAACTGCATGGGATCTTTAGTATCCCTTCTGCTCATACAGTATGAAAAACAATTTTAAAAATTTTAAGTAAATCTTTTCAAAATCCTGGGAAGTTGAAACCGGGAAAATGTTGGATCTTGATTTTTCCGTTTGTGTAATGACTGGAGAGAAGCATAGAAAGGATATTATTGCTCTATCACATCTATAAACTCTCAGATGTAATGCAAGAGATGCACCTGTCCACTCAAATTAGATAATTGTGTTGCCAGCACAGCTGGCTGAGATGAGAACCAGGCTTCCCTAATTTTTGGTAAACCAGTTACTTACCAACAAAAGAGTCACCAAATTGTTTTCTTACCCTATTTCCTAGAGGTAAAGAAAGCCAAAAACATGCCAATGCTGCATAAATAGCAGCTGAGCAGCTGAGCTCAGGTTTCCTGAAGGAAGATGTTCTTATATAAACTGCATTTTTCCAGGGGGTTGTGAAACATCTGCAGTTCCAACCCAAAGAGCTGGAAATCTACACGGCTCAGCTGGAGCGAGTGGTGCAGCGCTACATCCAGAGGATCCACTGGCTTCTCTCAGGTATTGCTGAGCAGCTTAAATATAAACAAAACCCTCTGCTCTGCCATCTCCAACAGAACAAATCCAAACCTCAAGCAGGAACAAAGGGTTATCCATTTGGTGTTTCACTGGAAAGTTTAAACCTCATTTTTAGGAATGCAAGAATTCGATAGAATTCTGATGAACATCTCGTTTGCTGGGAAATCATTAGGGCTGTGATGCAAGTTTTTGCTTTTTGGATGTTGTGTTCCTGAATACAGAACCAGAAGCTTTCTATCAACAAAAATGCATACAGTAACATATACAATTAAATTACTTTTTTGTTTCTTTTGCTCAGAATGTGCCCTGTTTAGAAGTTAAGCATCACTGCTGGTGAAGAGCATTTTCATCTCTCTGTTGCCCATAAAGATCTTTGTTTAATTTTTTTGCTGGATTGTGAAGTAGGAGATACAGATGATTTCATGCAAGTTGCTACAGTTGGCTAAAAATTAATGCTTGAAAGTGCTAGATTTGAAATGGCAGAAAACTTTTCTATTATTTATCTTTTAACGACCTGGTTGCTGCGTAGATTAGACTTAATGATGTAGAAATGTGCCCAGAATAACCCCTAAAAACTGAAGATTTACAGTGTGCTCAATAAAATGCTCCTGTGTAATGACCCTTAATTAGTTTGCATGTTCTGGCCCAGGAAGCCGAAGGTTGTTTGGGACCATTTTGGAAGCAAATGTCTGTGTTTTGATTGACACGTCTGGTTCCACGGACCCACATCTGCCACACGTCACGAAAGAACTCACCTCCCTTATCTGGGAACAGCTGAGAAGAAATGAGGTCAGGTATGGTGAGTTACTGATAAAGAGTGAACTCTGCACTAGTTATTAATGTGTAATCAGAGTGCTTGTTAATCACAGTGCTGAAACACGATCCCAGTAATTGTTATATATTCGATATAATGTGCATGTGACAAAACTGCTGCTTCTGTTCTTTTTAACCAGTTTTTAGTTCTGAGCTCTGTAAGATCTGAGCCTTTGTTGAAGGCCAGTGCCCTTTTGGGCTCAGCATTGCCACAGATCTTCTGTTCATGCAGAGTGAGAGATGCTTTTTGACTCCTCCAAAGCTGAAGATTTAATCCAACACTGGGCTCTTTGGTGGGGGACTTGGTTGGGTTTTTCTTTTTCTATTGGGTTTTTGGGGTTTTTTAAATGAATTTATTTATTTACTCCAAAACTGCCTTATCCAAAGTGACTGATTGTATTGGTGAGGGTTAAATGTTGTGGCTCATCTCTCTCCTCAGGTTTAACCTGCTGAGATTTGCAGAAAATACCGAGAGTTGGAAAGAGTGTCTTGTAGAGGCCACTGATGAAACATGTCATGATGCTGTGCAGTGGGTTTCCAGACTCCATGCCCATGGTAACACCTGCATCCTCCCAGCTTTACAGGTGAGTGAACTGGCTGAAAATTTTGTTAATTTACAACTGTGGCTGTGATATTTGCTCTGAGCCAAAGCAAGAAGCAGTTTTGAGTGCCATTCTTGAACTTCAGTAACAGGTGAAGAAATTTTTCTCCTATGAAAATTTTCAGTGTAGAAATTAAATGGTAATAATAATTTAAAACAGAAGCTGAAAGAACTTGCTATTTCATGAGATTTCAAGTTTGAATCGAAATAGAAGTGTTGCCTTAAATGAATGGTTCTTCTTGCAGACCCCCTTACACAGTCTCCATAGAAATGTTATGGAATTCATCATGAGTCAAGTCCAGTAGAACTCTGAGGTGTGTCTGTAATACAAAAATGTCCACTGAGTTAATGACTGTAGCAGGTTTGCATAATGTGAAAGGGCCAGGTCCTAGTGAGCCTGATTTTCAGGCTCTTTAACTCCCATAAAATGTGATGTAAAAAATCCTTTGTCAGCAGTTCTCCAAAACCAATTAATTTTCTTATTTCAGTAAGTCATTTCTTCATGACTTCCTGCTTATGGATATGTTGTCTTATACTACAAATTATCTATTCTATTATTCAAATTTATATCCTTGATCTCTTTCATAATGAGTGAAAAGGAAAAGACAAAAGTAAGTTGATTAATGATGTGGTAAATATAAAACGATCTTAAATCATTGGAATGGTGTTTTTGTTCCTAAATATAACTTGTCATAGAAATGTACTAATTATTTCAGCTTGTGTTTTGCTTTTCAGAAGGCTCTCAGTTTCCAGGGTGTAGAGGCACTGTATCTGTTGACTGATGGAAAACCAGACACCAGTTGCAGTCTGATTTTGGAAGAAATTGAACGATTGAGAAAGGAACAAGATATTAAAATCCACACCATTTCTTTCAGCTGTGCAGACAGGTATATGATACTTTGCAAGAACAGCAAGAAAACTTTGGAAAGTACCAGTTTATTTATTGTCAGAAGTCTCTGTTAACAAGATGGGAACGGGGAGGTTGTTCTGACACAGGTATTTACCACATGACCTACATTTCATACAGAAGTTTACAATCATGTCCTCCAAACTGTTTTTTGATGTAGTATTTTTTGAGTTCTTAAAAATTCTTTTTCTTCTGCTATTGCTTTCAGAGAAATCAATTTTCATAAGCAACTTTCTACTTCTGTTGTTAACAGAGGGGCTAATGAATTTCTGAAGAAACTTGCTTCCCAAACAGGAGGGCGTTACCACTGCTGGTTTGGAGATGAAGATGGACAATTAACAGCACACAGAATATTGGCAGAGGGGCTTGAAGATGAAGTATGCTAAGTGAATTGGTTTGAGTTGTTTGATTTCAACTTAGTTCTTCAAACTGCATTTTAAAAAGCAAAATAATGAGAAAAAATAGCAGAAGGCTCCTAAGATGTTTAACATGGAAAGCAAAAGGAGAAATCTTGGGATCTGTCTTTGCCTTTCTTTTAACTGCCTTGGTCAGGTGCCCAAACCCAGGAAAGGAGGATACAATTCAATAAAGGTTTTGAAAGAGAAGGAAAAAATATATCTTGTGTTTGGACACTGTGAGTTTTAAGCTAACTTTAGCTTTCACTGTGCTTTCTTGTCCTTGCCATCTTGTATTTCATTTAAGGAATTGTCAAATCATTCTACAGTGTTTAGCACATTAATTCTCCTGCATGAGAGCTCAGGGATTCCCACAGCAGGGAAGTGTTAGTGAACAGAATGAGGTTCGATCTGGAATTGCTCTGCTCTCCCCTTGTAAGGCCAAGACCTTCTCTGCAAACAGGGAAATTTAGAACTTAAGCTCAGTTATTTAAGTGGGTAGAAACAGGACATTTTGAATTGTTGCAAGTTAAAGTAGAATATTGTAACTATGTTTTCAGGATCCAGCTTTCCCTTACTTTGAAGGAGATGATTTAAAGAAACTTATTCAAGAAGTAGCAAAAGCCAGAAGTTTCTTAAAGCAGGCAAAATCTTGGAGGTGAGCATTTATCAAGAGTCTTTGTGTTTTTTATTTCATGGAAGGAAGACGAGAGTATCTGACTCCCAGTGTCTGCTATATAAAAAATAGGACTGAAGGACAATTAAATTGTATTGATCCTTATGTTTCTTCACTGTTATCCTTCCTGACTGCCAATCCAGAAGCAGAAAGCACCATTTCAATAGGAATAGTGGGCAAAAGTACTTGCAAAGAGCTTTAAAATGCATTATACCTCCCCAAATAAAAGATTTTCTGTCGTCCAAAGGCACAGCTGAACAAAGACACGAAGGTACTGTGTGCTTGTGTGAGAAACTGCTGGAATTCTTTGGGGTTTGTTTTTCTTTCAAACAGATTATTACTTGAAAAATGGAGTATGAACCAAAAGGACAATTCCAGCTTTCAAAGAAGTGCTCAGGTAAATGGATCACAGTTTATACGGAGTTCATGTGTTCAGTAGAAGGGTAATATGGGACTGTTGTTACAGGGGTGGGAGAGGCAGCTGGGCAATCTAAACCTCTCCCAGAGCTGACCTCCAACCTGCTGCTTTTAACCTGGCACAGTAAAAACCACAGGAAAAGAGAAAGGGCTGAGTGGAAGAACTTCCTCAGTGCTCAACAAGACAGAAGCATTTCCCACAGAGCTGTGTGAGGGAAAGCAGTGGACACACAGACAACTGCAGAGAGTTGCACTAGAGAACACTGCCAAGAGATTCATCAGGGAATTGGGTAATGCATAGTGAGACTGGGTTTTAAATCCTTTTTTCTGTGGCTAGAGTTTGTATTTCCTTTTAAAAACATTGCCCAGTCATTTAAAGAGGAAAAAAAAAAAAACAACAAACAGTCAGCCCCACTGGCTAAAGGTGCTTGTTCATGGAGAGTGGAACCTGGAGCTTGGCCAGGGATGTGCAGAATTCAGCATTTAAGGGCTGATCACTCAAGAGAAATGCTTGGAGAGGAAATGAATGTGTAACCATCCTGTGGTAGCGAGGGAGTTGTTACAGACATGCAGAGATAAACCTGGTGTTCCACAACCATCTCAGTCTTTCAACCTTCCAAGGAAAACTGCTTTGCTTGTACAGTGTAAAGGACAACATTCCTGTGAAAGTACTTCAGAAAGTCCATAGCCCTGGAGCCCCATTAAACATGGAAGGAGACTTTCACTTTCATTTGGATTGTTTCTCCATTGCCACTTTGTCAGGGGTGATGGGGAGCCCGTGCAGTTTATATATTTTGAGTTGTACTTTAAAATCCCTTCATGTGCTTCACTTGTAGGATTAAATTTTAGACATGGAAAAGATGCTGAAGAGGTTTGGAGTCAGAGTGTGCTCAAAGCTTCCAGCTGAAAGAGAGAAGATGGATTCTTTGTTGTCACGAGTGCTGGCAAGAAAAGTTGCAGATGACAAGTGCTGCATTGACTCCTCTTGCAGACTTTGCAGGACTCAAAGTAAATCAAGCCCTGAACTCTCCAAAGGTTAAGCATAAGTAGAGGATAGTTTTCAATTTCAAAAATATAGCTAATTCAAATTTTAGAAGTGTATTTCTAACATAATTAGCAGTTATACAGGGTTACAACTTTTGTTTCTGTTCTACTGCATCATTTTAATAATTTCTTCAATGGTGGTATGTCCAAATCGTCCTTTTTTTGGCAGTTGGTTTGAGATTTCCTTCCTGGTGCTCGTTATCCCCAGCAGATGGGAGGGATGGCTGTGATATTAGGAAGAGAATTCTGTAGGCCAGTTTTGCATAGAAAATCCAAGCAATAACTGTAGTGCAGAAAACAAAGCTTGGAATTCATGTTTTTGTCAAGAGAAGTTTGCTAAGAATTGTTTCAAGTCTTTGCTTTTTTAAGTTGCTGATACAGAATTATTTAGAGTTGATGACTCAGAAATTATCAGAGAATGCAAACAAGTAACACATTGTTGCTGATACAGCCTGGTTATGTTTGTATAACCAGACACTGCAAGTCTTCTGAGCAATTCTGTTAAGTTCTTGTGTATTTCCTGTCTGGAGAGATTAAAAATATGTTGCCAGTACCAGCTGATTTATGAAGTACACTTCTTTTTACTGCTAAGCTCAGTAATGACAGCTCACTAGTATTCTGTAGGTGTTTATTGTTGCCTTTCAGAGGATTATAAATTCCTTTCAAGTGTTTAAAATATGTAATATAATAAAAATGGATTTAGATTGCAAAACTCAGATGCTTGATCCGCATTTATTCAGGAGCAATTGCATCTCCTGAGTGCCAGCTGATGGGGATGACTGGATTTACTCTGAGAGACAGTCTCTTTTCTGTCCCTCCAGTAGTGTCTGTGTGGAATTGCTGAGATGCTTTGATATGAAAATATTAGTTGTAAATTAATAGGATTACTTACATCTCTGTTTGCGGTGTAGAAATATTAGATGACAATCACTGATAAAATAAGTGGATCTGTACTAAGAAATTAACTTAGTACATTTAAATTTACTGTTAAAACAGTCAATCCAGGTAGGAAGGATGAGTATTCTGTATGGCCAAGAGGGGTTTCTTATGTGTCCCTTGGAGGATTTGAGAACTGTCACAGTACTGTAGCAGAGATTCTGATATTCATATAAAGGTCCTTTCAAAGAACTTAAAAGGAAATATGCTTGTGCAGGTGTGGTAAATGATCTCAGAGGCTCTGTGTGAAGTAAGATTGTCATGCACATGTCCAATTTCAGTGGGTTCTGTTAAATTGCAATTGTCAAACCTCTCATTTTATAGCCCTTTTTTTCCCCTATGTAATACTTGGTGTTCAGAGATTTTACTCATTCAAAACAGTTCCATTTACACAGGCTGACTGCCAGTGGATCTGTGCAATCCTCAGTTGGAGCAGCCTACACTCGTACTCGTCACTCAGCTGTTTGTTTTGGCTCGGACTGGTTGTTTCTGTGGGCAGAGCAGAGCACGTGTCTCTGGTTCTCTTGAGCTCTCACACTTAGAGTAGGTGTTAAAAACTCAGGAATCTTCTCTTTCGTGGGAATCTGGGTAACAGAAGCTGTAAGAGTCAGATATTGCAGTATTTAGTCACTGCACCCCCTCCAGGTTCACCTCTTTTGTCCGTGTGTTCAGGCTGTGCAGCCCAAGCCTTGTTGGAGACTGCTCAGCCCTGCTCCCTACCCCCTTCCTTCAAATACAGACCCTGTTTCCTCCTTGTTACCCATCTGCAAACCCCCACCCTACCTGTCCCATCAATCTGAGGGCTGCTGAGCCAGGCACACATTTTAAGAAGGTGGTTCATTTGGGATGATCGGAGTTATGGAGTGCTCTGGGAGTGACTCCGGTGTCGGTCTGTCAGGTTTATGTCACTCGCTTTCCTGCCTTATACTTGCTGGAATGCAGTTCACTGCATTCAGGGCATAATAAAGAGGAGTTTTATAATTGACCAAGGTGCATGTTTTTCTGCCAGCTCGTTTGTGAGCCGTGTCAGTGCCGTGACTCACTGGACGTGGTTATTGGCGTGCAGTGAATTAAGGACAAATGGCTAAACCAGTTGTCACCTCATAGTACGTGTGCTGCCCCCACCAGAGCAGTGCTGTTCTCCCAGCAGGAGTGGGTGACTCCCATATGGAACTGCCCATCTACTGCCATAATTTACAGTCTCCAGCTCCTGTGCTACACTGAACTGGTGACCATGCTCATGAAACCTTAGTGTGGACTGGCAGTGCAGGAACTCCTTTGTTGTGCTTCAGGGCACAGCAGCTTCCAGAAGAAGGGTGGGACAGCTTGGCACAGGAACAAATTCCTCCATCCAAATATGCCTGGATTTGAGTCAACCCCAGGAGCTGATTCTGCTCCAGAGGAAGGTAACGGCAGTGAGTGTTGTGTCCTTTGGAATTCTGTTGGAAGGATTGCTCTGTGCTGGAGAATTGCATGTTGCCTGCTGTGAGCACCTATCTGTAACCACAAAGACTTTAGGCACCCAAATACAACCAAGTCACAGGAATTTTCATTGATTGTTTTAAAGCATCTCAGTCAGATGTATTTAGAATACTTTTCATTCCACTGAACCTCAGTCCTCTGAGAAACCATCTCCAACAGATGCATGTGAGATGTTTGCTTATGGATTAGTTTAAATAAATAATTAAGACAGAGAGAGGAAGAAGGGAAGACTCAATTCCAGAAACCTGCCAGCAGTAGAAAACACCCATTTCCTTCCCTGTCTCTGTTACAATAATGATAATCTAGGGCTTAGGTAACTACTGAATGCACTGGTGGAACTACTGTGTGAGGACACTGATAATCTCTGACTCATATCGTGTGAGACTTCATCAGTTAGAATCTTAAATTCTGCCCAGAATTTGATAGGTAGTTTAGGCTGGCCTTGAAAGCCACAACTTGACATCCTTTCAGTACTAGGGGCTGCCCCTGTCATCATGGCCACATTTAATGTGGTACCAAGGCTCTTTCCAAACAACCAGCAAATAACAAACCTCATCTCTTCTAGAGAGTTTCTCCTCTTTTCTTTCCTACTTGGAAAGTTCTGCAGCTTTTGCTACGATTTCTGGGTTAATAACAACGATAGAGGTGAATGGAATTTGCAAATGACACCTGGTAGAAGATTTTCAATGATTCCCAGTGGGCCCAGTGCAAAACATCCTCCTCTTCTGTCCATCCCAAGCCACCTCCCATGCCCTCAGGACTCCTCCAGTGGTTTTTGGGATGAAAGCAAACCAGGTAATAGTAATGATGATCTGTACTTCTCTCTAGTGCAACAACCATTAGAAAACCTTTGAATTAAAAGGAAAACTATTGGAGTTGGTCTTGTAGTCCTTTATAAACCTGAATCTATATAGTTCATTCCTGTGTGTAAGAAGCCAACCTGTGATCCCTGCTAATTATATAGAAACCTGCCTTTATTCAGTACAATTTAATGCAGTATTTTTATTTATGATGCATTTGTGTTCTTTCCCTTCAAATATTGCGTAAACTGTTGCCTTTCTTTTTTTTTTTAACAAGACCTAAGAGCTGATAAAGGGATGTTCAGTGCTACTGTGAGGAGTTGTTTTGTTTCTTCCTGTAATTCCATCCTGACTTGGCAATGCAGGCTCACAGTTATCATTTCATTTGACCTGTAAATCAATCTGTGTAACATGCAAAGCAGCCGCGAATGCAGAGGAAATGAGCACAAAGTCATGGGAAAAGCACTGTATATGACACATTCCAAGGCTGTATTTCTGTCTGCTTTATTCCTTCCATGAGGAAACAGTGAAATATGCAGAACTGTAACTCAAATCCACAAAGAAATGGGAAAAGGGAAGGAACAGAGTGAGACTGTTTATGTATGGTAATGAAGAGTGGAGGGATTTAAGAAGAAGAACCTGATCTCTCAGCTTTGCAGCTTGGAATAAGGAGCTGCATCTTCTTTTCCCTTCTGGTCTGAACTTTAAGTGTGACATGGGTAAGTTGCTTTGCCTCTGTGTCTTACCCTTCTAACTTAGCAAGGAATGTGAAGAATGTTGTATTGCCATCATACTTTGGGTATTAAATTACATCTGTTATTGCATTAATTGGGAAGCCTTTTTTAAGGATGATGTCATGCCTTAGAAATATTTGATATGTGCCATTGTTTAGCATTGGGTTATAGGATAAATAAATATTCCTGGCTTTCCTTTAATTCAGATACCATGATTTATCTTCTTGACCAAAAATTTTAAGACAGCAAGACATAATTAGAGGAGAGTTTTGTTCTTTTCCTCTTTTCCATTAACATTGCAAGACTTTCTGATTTAAGTGCTTTTTAACATTTTTGTCTTCTCTCAAAGCGTGATTCCCTCACTTAACATTTTTGTCTTCTCTCAAAGTGTGATTCCCTCACCAGTGACATTTCCCTTCTCTCAGCTCTCTGTTGGTTTAGACTCAGTCCTTGTGATGAGGGGGAATGTTTTTGTAGTCACAAAGAGATCAGTAGATTTAGTCAGAAGTGCTTACACCCTACAGCAGATCTGTCCAGACTTCTCTGGGGTTGCAGAGGGATCAGTGATGTGGTGCACTGTCCAGACAAGTCTCACCACTCTGAGTTCACAGGCTCTGTCAGTACCTGTGATGGGGCATCTGCATGTGAACAAGTGCGCAAGGAGCTGTTCAAACACACAAGAGCTTGGACACCTCTGCTAATTTAGGGCATAGATAAAGAATTTTTTAATAAGTCAGATGAAGAGAGGATATTTTTATGCTGTAATTAACTCAGCAAAATGCTATCCTTGAGTAGCTTTAAGAGAGAGCTGAGTTTGTGAAGCTTTTGTGCTATTCCCCTGCCCTGGGGCACTGCAGAACCCCTCATCCTGCCTGTGACTCATGTCAACCATCCATCCGTCAGCCCAGCTCACACCTCTGCTGAGCTTTGCACGCTTTGGTATCTCTGTTAGAGGCTCCTTCTGCACAGGATCTTCCACACCACTAAAAAGCTCCCTCAGGTTCCTGTTACCTCAGAGCTGGGGCACTGCTGCTGTTCCATGGCCTGCAGATGTGGAGCTGGGGAGTTAACGGGACCTGCTGAGTGGAAGGGACAAAGCCCTGGTCTCACATCTCCTCTCTGGGACCCAGCACTGCCCTCAGAACCAGCCCAGGGACAAGACTTTGTAGGCTGGAGACACACACTGTGCTGTCTGTCTTGGGCCAAGTCCTCCTTGCTCAATTCCCACCTGCATCTATCAGCATGTAATTTGAAATGAACTTGTGTAAGACAAACCCTCTGACACCTTCCTGTTGTGTTTTATACAGTCATCTCCTGCAAGAGTTAACTGCATGTTTTTTTCCTGTGTGCCTGCATGAACTGGGACTGGTCAGAGGAGAAAAGGTAGAAAAAGGCAGTCTGGAGTTGTGATTCAAAAAGCAAGCTCCAATCTTAATGCAGCAGCTTTTCTCCTTGCAACTTCAGCTGCTGTTTCTTTCAAAAGTACTTAGCAGGATGCACTGACTAAAATGTGGTCACCCCTCTTCACTGAAGTTAAGAGAGTACAGAACAGCAGTTCTGAAAGCTCCTCTGAGGTGTCCCCTTCTGCTGGAACCCAAAGCCAAGTTACAATATTCTTTGTTGAATTTCACTGAGAAATGAGGGATCGATATCCATGAATAAGCTGACCAGCTGCTTTGACTTGTGGAGGAGTTCTAGGGTAGTTCAGGGCTAGAATGGGCACTTTATTTCTTGCATTAAATGGTAAAGGCTCTCAGTGCTGCGGGCAACTCAAACCAGGGAATTTGGTGGGTTTGGGGTTTTACTCTGAGCTGGGTTTGTCCCTCATCCAGCAATCCAAGAAGTGCAGATCAGTGCCCCAGGCTCAAAGGGTCAGGTTCTAATGCCAACCACTGGGACTTAAGAACATGCATGTTATGCTAAAATGTACCTGCCTGGGTGTCACTTTGAGTTCCTGTCAGCACGTGAACATTAAATTACATTTCAATTGCAAGGCCGCCTGTGAACTTGAGCTATTTCTAACATGCAGACATTGAAAATTGTAGTCAATTATATTTAGATGTGGGAGTGTTTCTTTACCATCTTAACTACTGCTTTGAGAGTTAATTTTGGACACACCCTTTTAAAAATGTTGGCTTTGATTTCTCATTGTTTAATTTGTAAAAGGATATTTGTTTTAAAAGGGCTTTAAAATCTTAGGATCAACGTCTATACTTGTTAATCATTTAATTAATTACCATTAATTTAAAATGTATTATTAAACAGTAAGTCACCTTTCCCTGTTGTGTTGTCTGTGAGTTAATTTACTGCCTTCATTCATCTTGGAAGCCAGAGAAACAAACCTTGTGCCTACAGGTGTCTGCAAATACAAATTTGGGTTAGGGATGAAGACAGAAGAGTCAGGATGGAAGTGCTGGGTACCACTGCCAAACTGGAGTTTTGTTTCCTCTCTCCTACAGTTTATCTACACCCTGCTGGTACCAACAGTAGATTTGTGTCACCTACTGCCTTATCCTTCTACCAGGTGACAGTAAAGAGGGTCTGATGTAGAGAAAATATTCTATTTTTTCCCCCAAAAAAAGGAAGGTAAATTATGTACCAATTAAGCCCTGCCCTTTTTTGGCTCTCAGCCCAGCCAGCAGCTACAAAGGAGCAGGAACAGCAAAAGGGCCTGAGCACATGTGAACATCCCTGCCCTGAGAGCTCCTGATGCCCCGGAGTTACGGATTGTCCAGCACAGAGACCTCTCCCCACCTCACCTGGCCGGGAAGGACTGGGACAGCTGCCAGCCAGCATTCTACCAAGGGTACTGACTGCTTCTTTAGCTGATTGTAAAAACCTGAAATGTTTTTATGGGAAATAATCTGTGCAGTTTTAATATCTGAAGTGACAGCAGGGGAGCGAAGAGCAACTCCCAGTGCCTGAGATGCGGCTCTGCTCATCATGCATTAATAAATCAGAATAGCTCCCATAAATTCAGAGGGGAAAAAAAAATTACCTATCTGGAAAGAAGTATTTTCTTAAAGAAAATCATTTATCAGTTTTCTAATTCCATGAAGCAGATGAATATATTAATGCCATTAGTGCAGAAAGAGATATCAGGAAAAAAAAAACTTTAAACTTTTTTGTACAACCTCTGTCGTATTTAAAATTGAAGGAGGTATTAATTACAAGTATTCAAATATTTCAAATGTCGTTTTGTGGTATTTGTGATAAGCTTGACTTCAGTTCTCTTTATAGTGTGTAAAAAGATGTTTTTTCTCAGAAGACCAAGAGCTTTTTATGGCTTAAGACTACTGCACAATCTAGAGGTGCAAATTTATGTTTCCTTGCTTGAACAGGAGAGCATACTTGGTTTAGTTTTGTTATTTTAGTTCCAATTTAAATTTTGTTTGGAAATATGGATTATTTTTCAGTTTTGAACTGTCAGGATATTTTTCAACATAAGGAGCTTGCATTTTACACTTGTGTTTCACACTAGTTTAGCTGTATAGAAATGCCCTAATGAGAATAATATGGACAAGTTAGTCAAAACTGGACAGAAAAATAAATGTATTTAGTGTGTAACCAGAAAAGCTTAAAATAGAAACAAACTTTTATCATTGCTGAAGAACTGTGACCCAATGTGAAATAAAGTGAATGTTAATAGTAGATGCATCCTTTCTTATATTCCTTATTTAATGTGGTAGTTTATTTTCCTGACTAGTAGGGTGGCATCTACTTGGTATTAATATATCAGAAGTCAGTGAGTTTTCAAGAGTAAAATGTTTGATCAAATCAAGCATTTGAAAATGTAATTATACCTGTTAAGGTTAAGTAATTATAATGGCTCTAAAGCCTCTTTATTACTATATAATATGAAATTTCTGGGTATGAGGAAAAACCTGTATCTTGGAATAAAAGTATTGAGATCGTTACTCATCGTACGTAGAAAGCCCATCACCAAGATTATTACTTTATACGTTTTAAACATGTTAAGGAGCACTGTCATGTGAAAGTCCCTGAAATGACCCTGATCCCAGAGCAATGTGCAGGAATCTCCAGGAGCTGTTCTGTGTTGCAGTTGCGATGCCGGAAGGATCCCCGGAGCAGCTCCCCAGCCGGGAATGGGAGAGCCAAGGGAAGGAGCCTGCCGGGCTGCTGGGGGACAGGAGCACAAGGACAATGGTGACAGGAGGCGGAGGCTACCTGGGCTACAATCTGGGATGTGCCCTGGTTAGGTCAGGGATCGCTGTGGTTCTGTTTGATGTGCGGAAACCTCAGTGGGAAATCCCCAGCGGAGCCGATTTTGTCGAGGTACGTTTAAACCATTGAACAGCAGTGAAATAACGGGGTGCTGCTTTCATGCCCAGCCCCTCCTAAGGACTTAAAAAACACTTACTGAGGACAAGAAGTCGTGGCAGAAGGTCCTCACGTGCATAAGTAACCGATGAGGAGATGGCAGAGTCCAGGGGAGTGTCTGTGTCCCCAGTGAGCTCCTGCAGGCCCGTGTGGGAGATGCCACCCACACTCATAGCTCACCCCCGTGGGACAATGAAGTGACAAAGTCACTGCTCAGGGAGTTATTTCAAGGCAAAGGTGAGAGCAAGATAAGGCATTAAAAGTGCTCACAAATGCAGAATGGCTGCTGTGCAGGGAATGATTGAGGAAACTAGGATTTCCAGTCTGGGAAAGAGGTGACCTGGGAGCAGGAGAGCTCTGCAGAGTGAGTGGCACTGCCATGGATAGGGATTGACTGTTCCCTGTCCTTCCTGGAGCAAGAAGGAAGGGCCACCAGAGGAAATGAGGAGGAGTCAGTTGAGTACAAACCAAGTGACGTGGTTTGTCGTGCAGTGGGTAACAGGCATGTGCAGCCTCACCAAAAATGTACTTCCTTTGGAGGTGACTAAGTAGGTAAGGTCCATTAGGCTCAAAAAATCTTCTGAATGAAAATACTTAGAGACTAGAAGAGTATTCAGGGGGAAAGTGTCTCATATCCTTGCCTTGCTCATACTGTTCCCAGGACACTCATTATGAGCACTGATTGGTTTTGATTCTTAACAATTCAAATTGGTGGAGTGATGGCAATTTACATGCTCTAGAGGAGACTCAAGATCTCACAAATGATCTAGAATAGGGGGGTTTGTAATTTAATTAAAAAAAATAAATATTACAAAGTATAGCTGAGTACCTGGAAAATGGAACTGTGGAGTCCTAGTAAATGAATTAATAAGTCACTTCAGAGATCTGGGCCTTGATCAGTGATTTGGAGATTGCTAATATTGTTTATCCTCGTTAGCTACTTTAGTACTGGGTAAAGGGTGGGAAGGGTAACTCAGCCATATTTGTGAAATACTTTGGCCACCTCAGAATTATTCTATCAAGTTCATTACAGTAAAGTAACTACTATCTAATATTTTGAAATATTGTCATTCTCAAAATAAAAGTATTATATTTTTATTGATAGCTGTATATATGTGGCCTACTATTAATACAGTTATCACACAGTGCACCTCAAACAAACCTTAGATGGACAAAGACATCTGTGAGGACGGCACAAATCCCATCCCAGGCTGCTAAAAAGGGGGTTCTCTGATTTGGTGACTCCCTGGCAAACAGCTGAACCCTTCCTGCTGGGCTTTGTTGTCCCTGGGGCTCCATTCTGCAGCACTGGGGCATGAGCTGCTCCCATTCCAGTCAGACAAGTTCTGCCAGGCTGCAGACTCAGGGGGAAAATACGCCTTGTGATCGAAGCAGAGTCCTGTTGGCTTCGCAACAAAACTCTGACAAAATTCTTAGTCATGGATTTTTTTCACCCTGTTTATAATGTCGAGTTTGCTGCCAGTTAAATACTGTGAAAAATAGATCAAAGTATCTTTAGATTTTCATTAAGTGCCATAATTAATGTGATTCTGTAGAGAATGTAAGCAGCTCTACTCGTCAAGACCTCCTTTTTTTCTCATTTCCAGGGCGATGTGAGGGATTTCGATGCAGTGTTCAAAGCATGTGAAGGGGTTGACTGTGTTTTCCATGTGGCTGCATGTGGAATGTCAGGATTAGAACAAGCAAGTACCATCTTCTCAATGTTTTCTGTTGTTGGTTTTGAGAAAGAAATAAATTGTCTGCATGTAGCAAAGAATGTAATACTGATGTAATATTTATGTCAGACAGGAGTTGGTTAGAAAGGTCAAGTCATCCATACAGGCAACAAGGGAGGTATTCCTTAAATAATAAATGTCAAAGCATAAAACTAATGTACTACAAAATATTCTAGAAAAATGAGATCATACTTTTAAGATCTTGGAGAAGAAGGCTTATCCTTTTCTTTTTTTTTTAATGTTATCAAAAAAGTCATGAAACTACTCATTTATTTCTGGAAACAAGGCAGATTGCACTGGAAACAGAATTTGTGGAAGCTTTCAGGGAGCATAACCCTCACCTGTAATTCTTGTTTCTGTGACATGGATCATCTGGAGGGGGTGACAAAATATTGAAGCATTATAATTTCATTTTAGATGCACTTTATCTTTTATTTTTCAACTGAACAAGACAGGCAAAATGAGAACTGCCAGAGATCCCTGTCAGGCAGACACAGAACTGTAACACATCCCAGAAAGGCCTCAGCTGTTCCACAGCTGGCAATTGTAACAATCATGGTGTGAGTGTGACTGTTCCATGAATCAAACCTTGTGCAAACTTTATTTCCAGCTCCAAAAGAAAGATCAGATCGAATCCATAAACGTTGGAGGCACAAAAATAATAATTGATGGTAGGTACCTTGCTTTTCTTTCTTAACATCTGATTCAAACCTAAGTGTATTGTAAATACCAAAGCTACTTTCTCCTTGTTTTTCCTTCAAAAACCAAATGAAAAAAAAAAAAAAAAAAAGGCAAAACCAGTTTTTATTTAGACCATTTTTCCTGCTGCCTCTGTGTGTTATTACTAAAAGAAAACCAAGCAAAATGGAAAATAGGCAAGTAAAATTCTACATGAGGTAGAGGGAAGAGGTTCCCACATATTCCCCTTTTCCTACCCCAACCTCCAGACTCACAGAAACGTGGCATGACCAATTTCCATGGGCTCCCAGCAAAGCAAGAGTGTGGGAGAAGCACAAACATGTTCATCATCATTTTAATAACAGATGGTAGTATTGTCTTTTGTTCCAAATATTTACAACACAATCATTTGATTCATCTTTTTAAAAAGGAGCCAATGACCCAGCTGGACAGACAGCTCTGCAGAGTCGAAAAACTCCTGACTTTGAATATTAATTCACTTAAACTTCAGAAATACTGGTAAACGAAGAGGAAATTTACATTATTCAAGTTTGCAATGACGTATATGCAGCAGAATTTAGCTATAATAACACGCAACTGGAATCCTTAATTAAGGCTTTGTTTTGGAAATAACATTAATTTCATTTGCATTTAAAGCACTGCTGATTATACACTGGCAGTGCTGCTCAACAAATGCTCTTACTCATCTCCTTTTGATTCCATTTGTGAACATGTTTCAAGAAATGTTTCTGAAGGAGGAATTTTCCCCCCAAGGAGATTCCTCCATCCAGTGGGTGACTGCAATCCAGTGGCGATATGATAAGTTACCTAATCCTAAAACATCTGGTGACCACCACCTGTAATATTTGCATAGCAGATATTTGGGATCAAAAACTCCAGCTGAATGAAAGACAAGGCTATATGAAATGATAAGTGAATGTTAAAATTAAAATAGTGAAATAAAATTAAAATGTGCAAACATAATGTTTGCTTTCGAAAAGAGAAGCTGCCAGTTCACTTGTCATTTCTTCCTTTTTGTTTTAAAATAATTTCTTCTGTCTATCCTTGTAGTCTGCAAACAAAGAAATATCCCCAGGCTGATCTACACCAGTACAGTGAATGTGGTGTTTGGAGGGAATCCTATTGAAGAAGGAGATGAAGAAACTGTTCCCTATTTTCCACTGGAAAAGGTCTGTTGTTCATGTGATGGATTTACTGTGCTTGGAAGGGCAGGTTGTGTGAAGGCTGCTCTGAGGGCAGAAGCTGTTTTACTGTAGATCACAACAAATTCCCTGAAATTATTTTTCCTTAATGTAAGTTGAGCCATGATCAATGAAGAAATAATCAAATCACAATGGCTTGTGGAATTTCCCATGGTATATTTTCCAATATAAAGTCTGTCAATACAGAACTTCCCAAATAACTTCAATAAGAAATGGCAATGTTTTTTGGAAAGTCTGAATTTTTAATTTCATATTTAACTTGCGGTTTTTAAAAAACTTTTTTCAATTCGGAAAAGGATAATTTGAAAAAATATCTGTGCCACCAGAACATTTGGCTTGGGAGTAATTTTTTCAGTACATCCAGCACGAAAATTTAAGTAAGTTAAGTAAATACTACTGTGCTTAAATTCACTCTGCAGCTAACTTTGTGCCACTAAAATATAAGTCTGATAAGTTTTTCCTCACAAAGTATATATTTGCTAAATCTTGTTACTATTTCTAGTTGTGTTTTGCTCAGCTGATATCTAAGAGCTGGCTAGATTGAAATGTTATCAGCCAAAAGCAGTAAGTTTGCCTTTACAGATGCACCAGTGTGATTTAAATGTCTGTATTCTGCCTTTCTTTCTAGCAATTTAATCATTATTCCAGAACCAAGGCAATTGCAGATCAAATGGTTCTTGCTGCTAATGGAACTTTACTCAAAGGTACGTTTAAAGCATTTGGGGTTTTCCCATCACCAGTAGTGCTAATGGGTATTGCTTTCCCATTTATCAGTAAGCAGAGGACTTTGCCTGAAGTGAAGATTTATTTTGTTGCAGGTGTCTGGCAGGAACAGCAGCAGTTTCTTTAACACGTTGGTAATATCAGGTGACTTCCAAAGTCGCACCTGTAGGAATAGTTGTGGCTAAAAATCTATGTGTACATAGCAAGGGAAATTTTCAGATACATATTTTGGATACATATTTATTCCTACTTATTTCTCTTAACTGCAAAGTTGGCAAACATAAATTAGGTGGGGATTCAATTTTAGCATCCTTGATTAACTCCTGAGCACATGCTCAGGAAGCAACCCCTGTTACTCTTGGCCAGACAAGTCATTGTGCCTGTTCTCAGGGGTCAGAGGGGTCTGCTGAGGATTCACATGTCAGACTTCTTCATTTTGATTTAAAATATTCAAACTCATCGAAAGCCTCTGTTTAGGAGACCTCTTCTCTTCCTTTGTGGTGCCCCTGAGCTGCAAAGCCAGCCAGGAGTCTGGATACAGCAAATGGAGTGATCTGCTCCCATGTGTCTGCAGGGAGGGACAAATAGAAACTGTAAACTTATCTCTGCAATAAACAGCAAAAGCCAAACAACCAGGAGGAAAGCTTGATCTGCCCTGTTTCTGTTCAGACTCTTCTGTGGGATTTGTCTTGTCAGGCTCCCAGGCTCAGGCCTCTCACAGCTACTGAATTCAATTTTACAGGGAAACGAAATCAAGCTCCCGGGAGGCCAAATCACAGATATGGGCAGACCGAGCCTTTATTTTGACAGTGTAAAATTCACACTATGTATAGCCAGCCATAAGTTGATATCCAAGCTGTCTGAAGGTCCCCTGTTGTTCTCTCCCTCAGGAGGGGACAAGCTCCACACGTGCGTGCTTCGCCCCCCGGGCATCTACGGACCCGAAGAGCAGCGGCACCTGCCACGAGTAGCCGTATGTGTTTTGTACTCAGCTCTGGAGGACACCACAAGTAGTTGTAAGGGCAACAACACAAGTGGAAGTACCTTGATTGCAGTTCTTAACCCTTGCTCCAGGAAGGCTGTTGGGAAAGCTGGGTGACAGGGGATGGGATGCAGGGTATGAATCGAGCACTGCAGGCATGGCCGGGGTGAAAATTAAAAAATGCAAGGCTGAAATGCCACGGCAGAAGAAGTAGGTTTACATCCCTGATCGTTTAATGGAAATATTGACCTCTAAATATGCACTTGAGTTTCTGCTAAACACTCTAATGTCACCATATTTTGCCACTGCCTATCATTGCAACAGTCTTTGATTCATGAAACCACCAACTAGTTTTTTTTTTTCTTCTTGTGACACACTTCTTGTTGTGTAATTGTACACAAATACAGCAAATTCCAAGTATTTGGGCCGAGATAAAATGAATGTTACACTGCATAATAAAGGAATAACATAGTTATCACATGTGTTCTGATCCTGCAGATAAACATCCAGCGGAGACTTTTTAACTTCAAGTTTGGGAATCACGAAGTTCAGATGAACTGGGTGCACATAGGAAATCTGGTACAAGCTCACTTACTGGCTGCTGAGGCTCTCACCTCTGAGAAGGGTTATGTAGCTGTAAGTAAACAAAATATCACGGTGTCCCAGTAGTTTTAGCTGTCAGATAGGTTTAGGTTTTGATATTTTGAGATCAAAGAATCTCCAAGAAGTCATATTCTCAAAAATGGTGTGTGGCTCCAGAAACACATGGACAGTGCAAATGTAAATTCATTTGGCTCATGGTACAATGATGCTTTTATTCTGGTTTGAAAATATATAATTTCCTTGTTTATTGGAGGAAACAGTACTTTTAACTACCTTAATATATTCACCATCATACAAATCTATATATCCTGTTATTCTCTTGAAAATAGATTCTGATCTTAGATGCATAACAATTAGAGCAACCGTTCTGAGACATTCCAGTTTAATTTTCAAGGCTGAAAATTAAAAAAAAAAATGTATAAAATTAATGAACAATTTTAAAAAGTTTTTTCTTTTTCTTCTACTGGTCATAATTGCACCAGCAATCTGAGGACTGTGAAACAAGTCAGAACTGACAGTGTTGCAGCAGCTGCTGCTGCATTCACATCTCCTGAGTGCTCCAGATTCATTTATGGTGGTAGGAACACACAACAGGTACAGACACAGGTGAACATCCACGTGGCACCGTGGGTAATCATGGGGAGCTTTGCTGCCACGTGGGGTTCTCCAAAACTGTGTGAGAGCAGGGTGAAGGGCAGGGCAGGCAGTTTGCTGAGCTGCTCTGTGAACATTCCCCGTGTTCGTGCTGGTGTGTCGCCCACAAAACCAAGACATGGGTAGGTAGGAGAGAGAAGGGAATGCCATCCTCTGTACGGTGGTTTTCTAACTGTTCTTCTCTGCTTCTTCAACAGAGTGGTCAGGCATATTACATCCACGATGGTGAAAATGTGATTTTCTCCGAGTGGATCGTGCCCTTGGTACGTGTCGCACTCGCTCAGCTCGGAGGCACCTCAGGGGCTCTGGGCCTGCTCTGGCTACAAACCATACAACCTACATGAAGTTCAGGGCTCATTAATTACTGCATGACTTAACATCAAACTCACTCCTGTTCTCCCTGCATGTCCCAAAGCTCCACTGCCTTTCAGGGAAGTTTTGGCTGTGCATAACTGTGGGATTTGGCTTAACTGTTTTGAGATAATTTAGCCCAGGGGTGCAGAGCCTGCTGCAGACCAGCAGCATTTCTGTGGAGCAAACCCAGTGCAGGGCAAGCTCTGCCCTGGGCATCTTGTCAGAGCCACTGCTGATCTCTGTCCTGCTTCAGCTGCAGCACAGAGGGGAAGCCCCTTCAGAATCTTATCTCAGAAGCATTATATTTTCATAAACATCAGGCTGGGATTTCAGCAGCATGCCAAAGTTTTAATCCTGCAATGCCAACACAGAGAACTCCTCTGGGAAGATCACTGCAGTAGAACAGTGGGGCTGTATTTAACTGTAGGGAAGGATTCCAGTCGGGGTCACTTTGCCCCTTGGAAAAGCCTTGTTCCCCTTGACTGTCCAATTGCAGTTGAAGGGTGGGAGATGAGCACCAAAGAATGAGCAGAGGGTTTCAATTGCATTTCTTACCACCAGTATTGACAGGAAGACTAGCTGGAAAAAATTTTAGATACATGTTTTATCAGCATCTCTTTTTTTTTTTCTTTCCATTTTCATGCTTCATGACACACTCAATTTGGTACAAGCTCTCTGTTATTCTTTCCTTTTATACCCTTTCTAGTTTGAAAAATTAGGCTACAGGAAACCCTGGATACATATTCCTGTTCTGCTGGTTCATATAGCAGGTAAAAGAAATAAAATACATTCTTAATTACTGAGGGCTGGGTTGGTTTTGTTTTTATTCCTAGAAAGCTCCAGAGTGGTTTTATAAAATGATGGGACCCAAACTGTAGGAATTATGTAACTTAACATTATTCTAATAAATAACAACACTTGTGCCATTTGGCACTAATTACCAGATAAATTTTAAAGGCTATTCATAAACTGAGTCCATCATGTACTTTATAAATTAAACCCTGCCTTCTACCACCCTAATTTCATGCTCTGGTATCAGTAGGAATTACAGGATGTGCAATGTTAGCATTGTCTCAGTTTATTGTTTTCCAGCTGTCTGTCTCATTAAGTACCTTTGTGTTTCACAGCCACTGTGATGGAATATCTGCACCTGATTCTAAAGCCAGTTTTTAGCTTTACACCTTTCTTGACAAGGAATGAGGTAAATATATATAAAAAGGGAGAATGTTTATATATTGCTGCCCAAAGCTCTCATGAAGTCCACGATACACCCTTTGGATGCAGAGAGGATTCTCTGCAGTAGAGTTCTGTTTTCTGTTCTGTTTCCATTGTAATGTCATTGTTGATATATTTTCATCCAAGTTCTGGAAAATCTGATATTAAAATCACTTCCATACCTGTCCTTTTGGGTTTCAGGTGTGGAACGTGACTGTAACTCACACATTCCGAATAGACAAGGCACGGAATCAACTCGGCTACAAACCAAAGAAATTCTCATTTGCTGATTCTGTGGATCATTATCTCAAAACAAGACCTACTTGCCAAGAAGATCACACATTCCTTAAAATGGTGTTTGTTTTTGGCATTATGTTAAGTTTGGTCGTTCTTTCTTTCTTTTAAAATCCAGTAACTCTCCACCTGTTTCAGAAAGCCTCCTTTTGTTTCTGAATATTAATGATCTGGTCCTGGTACATTCCTCAACCACTGTGGACTTTGTTATTGTTATAACTATGATGACACCTCTCTGACCTCATTAGAAAGAAAAAAAAAATAACACACAGAAAAACAATCACAAAAAGTGAAAATATGGGACACATCAGGAAATGTTCCCCGGGAGCAAATCAAAGGAGAGTTCATCATTAACCAGTGACCAGGACCAGTGTTAATGGATCTTCATTAATTCATTGCTTCATGCTGAGAGGGATTTTCTAAAAATGATAACTCAGGAGGGTGAGGAGTTGGAAGAAGAGGAACCACTGTAGGACTGCAGTGCTGCCACAAGTCCAGCAGCTCCAGTGAAGAAAAGAGCCACTAGACAACTCCTCTGATGAAGCTGCTGCTACAGCTACTGTCTGTAAGTCTGAGGAATTATGGAGACCTGGGAAATAGGACAAAAGTATAGAAAGGAAATATTTATAAATAACAGGTGGTGAGAGGACTGAAAATCGTATTTATGTAAAAATAATTTTATTGTTCAAAAGCTTTGTAAATTGTAATAAATAATATTATGTGTGTTTGTAAATCAAACAATGTACATTCAAAGCAATAATAAATAATAACTGAAACAAATACTGTTTTTAGAGAGCTTCTGGGAAGGGGGAGGAAGGACACTTGAGATCTTGGGAGTTCAGCAAGGTGTTACTGCTGGGGTCATGTTATCCACACCCACAGTCACAGTCCACAACCCTGTACCTTCAGGGAATTGCCATTTGGGGGTGAACAGGCAAACCAAGCACCAAGACATGAGGGACAATCCAACCTCTCTCTTTTTTCCCCTTCTTAAGACTTATATTTGTTGCTTCTTGGGTAGATTGTACTACTTGAGCTACATGTGCTGGCTCTTGTTTGAGTTACTGCTGCTCTAACAAAACTGCAGTGTGTCTTTAAATGATTAAAATTTAATATGAATGTTCAGACACAGCACAGCTGTAACAGAAGAGGTAAACATGTTCAAAGCTTAATTTTTGCCTGGAATGGGTAACACTCAAATTCTCCAGCTCCTGACACATTTCCCATCCTCCCAGGCTCGAATGACCACAGGGACCCACAGTGCCAGCTCAGGTGGTCAGGGCCCTTAGTCAGTGCCCATTTGTTTATGATTATACCCTCCTCCTTGGGAATTCCTGCTGTTTCACAGGTGCCTTTGATGGTCTGCACCTCTCTGAGCCATGTCCTGCCACCAACTGTCCAGCTGGTAAGTAGGAGGCGTTCTTTTTTTTTTTTCCTCAACAACCCGTTCAGCAGGTGTCTCAGTGCGGACAGAGCCCTCGCTACCAACAGGATGCGTGTGAAGGCACTCGGAGGTAAGAGCCACCCCAGGGTGCTGTGGGATGAGCGGAGTCCCAGGGAGGCTGTGGGATCCCAAAGGTGCTGTGGGATGAGCAGAGTCCCAGGGAGGTTGTGGGATCCCAAAGGTGCTGTGGGATGAGCAGGATCCCAGGGAGGTTGTGGGATCCCAAAGGTGCTGTGGGATGAGCAGGATCCCAGGGAGGTTGTGGGATCCCAAAGGTGCTGTGGGATGAGCAGGGTCCCAGGGAGGCTGTGGGATCCCAAAGGTGCTGCCGGGTGAGCAGGACCCAGGGGTGCAGTGGGACCCCAGGGGGGCTTTGGGAGCCCGTGGGTTCGGGGGGATGCCAGCGATGCTGCGGGATGAGAGGGACCCTGAGGAGCGCGGGGGCGGTCGGGACGCGGGTCGGGACCCCGAGGGTCGCTGCGGGCGGTGCGTGGGGCCGGCGGGGGGGATGGCCCCGGGCCCGACACCAGCGGGGGCTCCCCCGGGACGGCAACGGCCCCAACGGCCACGGCCCGAGGCCGCGCTGAGGGCTCGGGGCCGCCCTCCCTCGGAGCGCCAGAACCTGCGGCCCCGGGCCATTTGCAAGTGAGATGCAGAGAGTCCCGCCGGGGCTCGGGTGGCTTTGAATGTTTAATCGCGGCCGGGGCAGGGATGTTGGGTGACGACGGGGTGGGGGAGTTCGCAGCTACAGCCTCTGAAATGCCCCGACTGGCAGCGGTGAACCCATAGATGGGCGAGGACGTCCATGCTCGGGAAATAAGTGATCAACTGTTACTTTTTCTTAGTGAACTTATTGGCCCTTTCTTTCAGAGCAGCTATTTTATTGGAGTTCCCCTCGAAAGTGAGGGATTTGATAGCCTTGTTCTCTGATACACCTTCTAAAGTTATAAAGTAAGGATCAGGCATTCCTCTTCCCTCCTGAAACCCTCATCCCTGAACTCCATCACTGTCAGTGGTAATGACATGGTGTATTCTTAATTTATGCTCAGCTGCTGCTACTTAGAAAGGAGCTGGAAATACCACTTCCCTCGGATGTGTCTTTATGATAAACTGGGGTCGAGGGAAAGAAACATTGAAGGTTTCTTTTGCTCTAGGGGACGTTGTATTTGGCTGCTGTTCTGCCTGGCCCCGCTTGCTTGGTTTTAAACAGAGAAACTTAAACGCAATTTGTTCATCTTTAGAGTTTTCCTGACAGTTCAAGAGTTCAAAATCAGGTCTGACCCCTATAGCACATCTGGTCCCTACAGCCATCTCTGAGTTGTGATGCAGACCAGGATGAACTAAACTGAGCCCAGACTATTTCACATAGCCAGAGATTTCTCTTCTGCTAATAAAAAATTAGGGTCTGGACTGTTATTCTAATTTTGACCCATTTGTGGAAAATATTTGAATTCATGTTCTTTCTGTTAGGCAAATTTTTTTTTTTTGTTTAGTTTTTCTTTTACTATTCTGGATGCCATTTGCAAATTAAGCCTTAGCCCAAAACATTGCAACCTTTGTTATTTATTTTCAGGATGCTCTGTCTAATATAGTGCACAGACACCTGAAATGTTTGTAAAACTCCAAAGGGAACGGACATGCTGCAGCACTGAATAAAAGCAGTATGAGAGCTGTGGTGACAGGAGGCGGCGGCTACTTTGGATACAAGCTGGGATGTGCTCTTGCCAGCAGAGGAGCTTCTGTTGTTCTCTATGACATGCACAAGCCTATTTGGGAAATTCCCAGTGGAGTGGAGTGTATCCAGGTATGAGAAATTGTATTTTCCCAGCAGTCAAAGTTAGTTCATTTGCCTTTTCCGTAACGTGTTACTGGTTTTCAGAGGATCCAAACAGCTAACTGCAAATTATTTCAAATTCCAATAACCTTTTTGAGAGTGTGAGATATCCCACGGGACTTTTGGTGAAGGGATTTTAGTATATTGTAACGTGGAGCACAGGGCAGTTCTGCTCCTGCCTCCTCAGGACCCTGCCCTCACCTGTGCCTTAGTTTAATCACCTATAGAAAAAACACAGGAGTATTATGAAGCTTAACAAATGTCTTTCAAGCCCTTTGGGTTCTGTGGAAGAAAGAATCATTATCAGGAAGCACTGGGGTGGGCCCAGTTTTGAGGCCCAGGATGTACAGCCTGTACAATTCTAAATATGCATTATATATATATATGGATTCCCTCTGTGCTAACCCACTGTATGACAAATGCTCACCTGAAGCTTTGATGTCAAGTCCAAATATGCTTTCTTGTGTGTTCCAGGCAGATCTCAGGAATTACCATGCCATCCTTGCAGCCTGTGAAGGGGCTGACTGTGTGTTTCATGTAGCTTCATATGGAATGTCAGGAAAAGAGCAAGTGAGTCCAAATAGTTCTGGTTTTTTCTGTGTAACTGCCCACAATGAGAATGAGGGACTTGATGCTGTAGCACAGCCTGGTAGATTTTATCTCTTCCCATTGCCCTGGTGTTTTGGTAGATTGCTCTGTGCAAACTGGAGTGCCAGGATGTTTGCAGAATGATTTCCTCCCCATCAGAGGGTGTTTGAGGTGGAACTGGCATTGCAGAGCTCTGAAACAGTATAAAGACCAAAGGAAAGCCAAGAGAGGCTGGTTCCCTCCAAACCCCTGATCCTTCCCTAAACCTTCACAAGGAACTCCTCGGTGTAAGGTCACTGGGAGGAATAAAAACTGAACTGAATTATAAGTTATTTTATGTATCTAAATACAGACCACTGTATTTCAAGCTGTGAGGATGTAGTCTGAGTCACACCTTTTATGATTAGAGTTACAAACACACACACACACACCTCTCTTTCTTACCCTGTATAATAAAAGGAACTTCAATAATTACCCTGTCTGGATAGAACAGCTCACTCAGAGCTATTTGCCACTAATGCATAATGGCAATTGCTCTGAGCAGAGGCAACTCATCACTAAAGTGCTACTGAAACACAGATATTTAACATACTAATAACAGGACGTGTTTCTTTGGAGCACTGTGGTTCTCTTTGCTTCAAGCAGACTAGTCTGCAAAAATACAAGAAAAATACAGGCATAGCTTAAAAATAATGATCTGACTACTTGAAGTCAGAAACAACAGTCTAAAAGACCTTTTTTTATAATCAAAGCACTAAATTAATTACCTTTATTTGAGGACATTGTAACATCCCCATACTGAATTTACTATGTATTCAGAAATGCACAATTTCTTTTTTTTCCTAGTGGCAGAAAGAGCAGATTGAGAGTATAAACATTAATGGAACAAGATACATCATTGAGGGTAGGTACCTAACTGTGCCATTGGGGTGTTGGCAGAGCACATCAAGTACCATACACCATTTAGAGAAAGTCAGCTGGTGTTTGGCACACATTATTGGTTACCAAATGCTTTACAGTTGTTGACAGAAGACGAGAAAACAAAACATTGCTTTTGATGCTCCATCCTATGACAGGGTGTGATGTGTCAGAGCGGGATGTGCCAGAGAGTAAAGCCCTTGGTTCCACATTGATGCCTTCCCTTTAAACGTGCTTTGCATTTCAAGTCACCCCTCCTAGAACGGAAGGATTTTCCCTTCTAAGATTTGAGAGTTTCTCAGAATAAGGTCATACAACACTTTTTTCCCCCCACATTGTTTCATTTCCCATTAAGTAATTTACTTTGTACGTCCCTGCAGCCTGCCAATACCACAACATCTCTCGGCTGATCTACACCAGTACAGTGAACGTGGTGTTTGGAGGGCTCCCTATTGAAGATGGGGATGAGGAATCTGTGCCATATTTCCCACTTGACAAGGTATTTTGGTTGTATCATGTTTCCAAGTTTCCTCTTTGTTTATTTTCTTGTTTCTGGAAAAGCCTGGAGCTTTTATGACAATGTGTGACCTGATGCCAGGATCCAGGCACAGGAAAGGCCAGGTTGGATGAGAGTTTGAGCAACCTGATGTAGTGGAAGGTGTCCCTGCCCATGGCAAGCGGGTTGGAATGAGGTGATCTCTGAGATCCCTTCCAACCCAAACCATTCTGTGATTCAGTGAAAGAAGAAAACTGCTTTTTGTAGATGCTATTCACAGCCTTGACACATCAGTTTTATGTACATTGCAGTACATATTTCTTTGTTTCCTCTTAGGGCCTTGATTTTGGCAAATAACTCCTACAGTGTCCCATTAACATCAAGGAGACCCCACCTGGCCAGCAGGATTGTGTTCTATGGCTTGGTGCCTCTCTAGCTATTCATTATCTAGATGATTTTTCTGTTTCTCCCTTACTGAAGATGGCATATATTCAATGCAGAGCTGATCTGGAAAAGCAGCCTATTTTTATAGGGGTTTATTGCATTTAATTAAAAAGGAGAAAGTACTTCTGGGTGCTTTGCCTACACAGTTGTTTTTGTGTCCCTCCTCTCTCCATCAAGTACTTCATGGCCTCTCAGGAAGTAAAGATGGAGAGAAAATACTGAATCATATTTTTAATAATATTTGAAATATTTTCTCTGGGGCAGTGCCATTTGAAAGTGAACAGGATACTTCAGAGGTAATGTCTTCAAAACCTGGCTTTTGACTTTTCCATTACCTGAAGCAGAAATCCAGATTCCAAAGTAGTGATCAATTACATTCCTGGCAGCATTCGAAGTATACATTTATTTATTGCTTCTCAAATGTGCTGAAAATAATTAACCAGATTTGCATAAAGAAAAATGCCTCCTTGCCTTAGCCATGTGCATGTGTTTTACCCTGAACCTAACACCCCATGCTTTCTGTATTTTGAGGTATTTGTTGCCATTTGCCAAGTAAAAACTAACAGAGCAGAGATGTCCCCCTGCCCTGTTCTTCCAAGAATAGATAAAAATATATTTGCTTTTTCTCTGTAGCACGTTGATCATTATTCCAGAACCAAATCAATTGCTGAACAAATGGTACTGGCAGCTGA